GTATAACGTACGAGAGCATGTTACACAATGATAAATGTCAGTGGGATGGTACAAATGTACCAAGTGCCCAATGTTCCCGTCCCTTTTGGTAATAGAGTTTATGAGATTGGTGCGCACTGATTCATTGCATCTAACTGCGTCAGATGTATATAACAATCAGGATCAACGTCCGAAATTCAAAACCAAAAAGTCATCTATCTTTTTTAATTTTCCCAAACTTGGCAACGTATTTATTCAACTATTGCAAGGTCGAATCAATACTCAACCAAGCATTTCCGAAATAGGTATTCGAAAAGTTATTTTATATTTTTTAGATTGATACACCAAAATTGTCGACAATGTCCAATACAAATATACGGTAGCTGAATCAAATATATTCATAGTTTAAATTGTAAAGAGATGCCTGACGTAAATTTTCATCAGTGGAACTTGTATCTGTCAAAATTTCCAATGTAGGTTTATGCGAACATGTGTTTTTGATAAGAAATTGTGACATTAAAGTAGTCTGTTGGGAAGGAAGGGGTCCCATACATCCACGCTAAACAAATCTTTAATTACAAGTGTTTTGTACCGACGGGGTGCCTAAAAGGGGTTATATTTTTGAAACGTTGCCATTTAAATCTTTCCTTGTCTCCTTTATAAATTAAGTGGCGAAAGAGCGCAATGCCAAAGGTTATATTAGATGAAATCTATCTTAACTGCGGTAATTTGCTCACCTTCTAATAATTTGTACCCAAAAATACCTCTTTGGCACTCAAAATATATCATCAGGCATTTACATTTAGTTAAAAGTAAAATAATTGACTTTCACAGGCTCTATAATTTTCTGTAAAGAGTATTAACGAGATCAGCCTTGGTGCGAGATAAATTAATTAAGGGTATATATCATTGTCACAAAAAGTCATATATTATCGGGTGTCCCAAAAAAGTGAGCCACTTTTTGACAAGTATTTTCTCAGGAATTGATGAGCCAAATTCATTGGAAAATTGTACAAAGTACTACAGTAGCAAAGGAGCATTCTTAGCATGGCAAAATATGAATCTATTTATCTATTTATTTAAGGATTAATGAATTGATCAGTCAAGATTGCCATCAGTTACTTCTTAACCTTTCTTTTAAGTTAGGTTTATGCAGTCTCCGAAAATAAATGATTTTATTGTAAAACATTAATCATCTAATATTTATCCATTGCATTTGTTTTATGCAGTTCCTTTGCTGTATGCGAGGCTATAAAAGCATCAAGACACTAAGCATATGCAATGGGCCATGTTGTCCGGGCTACGTGGAAAAGATGGCGCTGCCTCCCAAACTTGCCCCGATAGTATACTGCGAAAAGGTTAGACAAAAATACATATTTATAAGTATAACATCGTATTGTTATCATTTAAATGTCACTATAATATCATGTTCTACAGAATTGCAATTTTTATTGATTATATATTAAACTAGCATTCCTGTTGATATTTTCAGGAGGCCAAGCCTGAATCATTTTCCGATATGCTGAGAAAGAGGTCTATGCCATTGTCAATGAGGCAAAAATAAGAGTATAACGCATGTCACCTTGGACTAGATGAAGCCCAGGGATTGGATCGATCCGGATGAACACTCGCCAAATAACATAGTTGACATTTCCCCTCAATGACGTGGATGACATTTATTTTTGAGTGATTACTGTTCCACAATTAGAACATGCTCCTGATTGCATAATAATGAGTTGATGAATGTCGCCTTCACACAACACGTTTTACTTAGAAAGACTTCAGACCTCAAGGGACAATGACTGTTATCCAGAACAGACGCTGTTCAAGCACGCATAAAATACAACTCCCAGCTATGACTAATATGATAAGATCATGTTATTTGTCAAATGATCACCATAGTGATGAATGATGATTGCTTCATAGTCCTCTATTAATTGCATAGCTTAGAAGATCGACATTTTGGCGGTAACTTCCGTATCGTGTCATATCCCATCCCAATTACTGTATATTAAATGCCATATTAACATAAAAAATTTGAAATTGAAAATACATTGATGACAGTGACATGATCAGTTGAAGGAGGAGGCAATTAGAGGAACTTATGTAGTTCATTCTACCTCATTCTTTTGGGATAGTTTAAAACTATGGTTCAGGCAAAAACATTTTAAAGGCATTTAGAGTGATTTATATTCATTTATTCTTGCTGTTGATTTATAAAAAGTATGTACAAATTCAATTAGGCCTATATAATGTCACAAATTAATTAATAATAAACCCTCCATTAATTGTCTGTAGTACATGATGTAAACAAGCTTAGGTTGTTTGACCAATGTACACTTTGTTTGACCAATGTACTGTACACATTATTGTTTGTTTCATATAAAGTAAGGTGATGCACTGCACTAAAATCTGCAAAATAAAATATAAACAACTTCACTAAAATGTTTCTCTGTTTGACCCAGAATATGTTTTCTGATACATGCTCAGTCATGAAACTTAAATCACCATATATCTAAACCTACTACAGTGTACTTGTATACATGAGAAAGTATGAGAAAATCCATTTACATCAATCTACTTGGACCCAGATTGGTCATTAATCTTCAATTGAGAATATAATCATTCCCTCACTATCACCTTTACATTGCAATCATTATGATTTGATTGTAGAGGCAAGCAATGTCACACCAATTTATGGCCAATCAATAACAAAAAATTTAGTTTCAATTGCTATTTACTTCTATTTAAGAAAATGGTCTAAATTATTCATTGGCTGTGAGGAATGCTGATCATTAGTGACATGCTCAGTCACTCTGAAAATAATGGTCATAAATTCATTTTTTACATTACTTATCCTTTGAAATAATAACAGTATTCAAGGTAACTCAAGAGATTTACATGGATTTATCATATCTCATACTTTACCACTGTCTGAGAATAGCATACTTTAAGTCTTGGATTCCAGTTAACATCAAAAATCAATTAACAAACCCTATACGATTCAAAGTTCTTCCCAATTTCAAAATATTTCATTTTAAAAACACAAGATTATATACATGATCATAAAAAGTTTACTTTCTCTGTTGAAAGAAATGGACTCCTTCAGTCTGGACAATGTTTACTGAAACTCTAGATATGTACATGTAAATAACCAATAAACAATCTCCAACAGTTCACCTAAATGTAAATTTAATTCAGTTTTTATCTCTTTAAGAAACTTGTAACATGTGGCTCTACAATCAATAGATGTCAGTTTTCCAATATGTCCGTGATCTAGAAAATTCTTACTTGTGAAAGGTGTCTATCAGGACTAGTTTGAGCACTAGTTTGTTCTTGCATCTATAAAATATGTTAAATGGAAAAGCACTTTTTCTGGAATTCTGATGACAAGATTTATGTGGAGCCATACTTCCTAGCAGCACTGATGACAACAATAAAGCACTTTTCAAATGTGATACATACAATTGTGATTTTTTCAAATCATCCCCACAGCTACTTGTGTATTAAAATCTTAGCGTTCAAAATAAGTGGTTACTTAGATAATTAGTGGTTACTTAGATAAAATTCAGCTTTGAGTCAACTTCTGCCAGATTTTAAAACCCCAAGATTTCAATACACAAGTGGTTGTGGGGGTGATTTGAAAAATAAACCCTACATTTATGGGGGTAAAGTATCCCTAAATTGGATTGCAGAGGCTCTTAAAGATTTAATTTAACAAGTCTTTATAAATATGTGTGTTTGTCTATTTGCATATGCATGTCCAATACAATGCTAACTGACCCTTCATTTTCCTGAATTATAAAAACATTAGATTGTCTTTGACAATCAGACTCCTTCCATTATTGGCAATATCTCAGAAATTAATTGTTTGTACATTTCCAACACATTGACAACCAATGAGAATTTGACATAAGTATTAAAACAAGCAATTTGGCCCTTCATGCCAATCAAACCATGGCTAATTGTCTGTGATTCTCATATTCATGAGTTAACACTTGACTTAGTAAGCACAAGATGTTTTGTTTTTTCTAGTTCATGCATCGAGCAAAAATATATAATGATAATATAATACAATGTTGCCATGGCAATGAGCACAATCAACTAAAACGAATTCATGTTTTCCTTACAGCATCTCAATATTTTAATAAGTGTCAAAATAAAATGAATTTCAGATTATAGTTTAAAATAAAAAGACATCAATTGCTCCAACAATATAATTTGATACAAAACCATTTTTTCTGTAAATATCAAATTGAAAGAATCCTAATCTAGTATCAGCAGCACTACACGCTAAAATTGAAAGGTACAATCAAAATTTCAATTCTTAAAAGTTGAGTAGTCACATAATAACATTGCCTCAATGTACTGTACATTGTCTCAAGTGTTACATTGTGCTTGATGTATTGCCTCAATGTACTGTGCAATGTCTCAATTGTTACATTGTGTTTGATGTATTCCCTCAATGTACTGTACATTGTTTCAAAGTGTTACATTGTGCTTGATGTATTCCCTCAATGTACTGTACATTGTTTCAAAGTGTTACATGGTGGTTGATGTATTGCCTCAATGTACTGTACATTGTTTCAAAGTGTTACATTGTGCTTGATGTATTCCCTCAATGTACTGTACATTGTCTCAAGTGTTACATTGTGCTTGATGTATTGCCTCAATGTACTGTGCAATGTCTCAATTGTTACATTGTGCTTGATGTTATGCCTCAATGTAATGTACATTGTCTCAATTGTTACATTGTGCTTGACGTATTGCCTCAATGTACTGTACATTGTCTCAAGTGTTACATTGTGCTTGATGTATTGCCTCAATGTACTGTACATTGTTTCAAAGTGTTACATTGTGCTTGATGTATTCCCTCAATGTACTGTACATTGTCTCAAGTGTTAAATTGTGCTTGATGTATTCCCTCAATGTACTGTACATTGTCTCAAATGTTACATTGTGCTTGATGTAATGCCTCAATGTAATGTACATTGTCTCAATTGTTACATTGTGCTTGATGTATTGCCTCAATGTACTGTACATTGTTTCAAAGTGTTACATTGTGCTTGATGTATTCCCTCAATGTACTGTACATTGTCTCAAGTGTTACATTGTGCTTGATGTATTGCCTCAATGTACTGTACATTGTCTCAAATGTTACATTGTGCTTGATGTAATGCCTCAATGTAATGTACATTGTCTCAATTGTTACATTGTGCTTGACGTATTGCCTCAATGTACTGTACAATATTTCAAGTATCATTTTGTGGTTGATGTGTTGCCTCAATGTACTGAAGATCTACAGCTACTACACGACTTCTTGGCGTCTGTGGCTTCAAATCTGAAAATAAAAACAATATACTGTATCCAAACTCCATGCTTATTAAATGGTTTCCTCCAGAATATCAACTATAATTAAAGGGTAACGAATATCGTTTAGCAAATCGAACGCTCGCTTTTGGTGTTGCTCATCGTTTAGTATAAAAGGCACGATCCCTGAATAATAAAAATTGATATCTAAATTTACCTGCCAAGTATAAGTACAAAGCATGGTCTTGTGAAATGTTCTATTCATAAATGAAACAAAACGTTTTAGCCTTATACATAACCCTTTAAACAAATCACTCAAACCATAGTAACTCATAGCCACCCACTCCTATTAAACATTTCTTTTGTATGACTTCATGATCAAATGTGTGAAAATTAGATGCAGTGGTAAATAGTATAATCTTTACATGTCATGTATATAAATGACTCCTATAAGACTTAATTCATTTTTTTTACTTTAGCTTAACATTCTAAATTTTCTACTGGACTGTTTTCAATAAAACTCCAGTTAATCAGAATCATGACATTCTATAGAGCCTAATCAGAATCCAAGACATTTATTTATTAAATCAGCGTAATGTAATAAATATCACAGTGGCTGACTTAATCATTTCAGAGTCCTTCATATTACAGCTTTATCCTTGGCATTTACGGTATTTATAGGGACCTGAATCTATCAATGTAAGATTATTAGCTAACTACAAATAGTTGTGGGACGGGAATGAAAATATCCAAAATAGTTAAGTTCTGCCAACATTTGATAATTTGATATTATACATGAGGCAGTAGAGGCAGGAGAAAATGTACATATAAAAAGTTGTGTCAGGATATTTCAACTCTAATATTTCATCCAAATAGTTTCTCATTGAATAGTGCAATATTCATGAAATGCTCAATGATACTGACAATCTGGAGTATCTGCATGTTTCCAAAAAATATGGTAGTATCAAGAATTCCAATATGTAAATAGTTATCGGGGAGGTGAACGTTTGAGATTCATATATTAAAATATAGTTAATTATCCTACATTGACCTTTTTCAATCATCACTAACATTTTCTGAATGTATTTTCTGTGTAGACTCTATAAAATATCATGTAGTATGTCAACATGTGATTTACAACAAACATATCACATCTTTACTTGTTAAAATGTCAACAGAGGCCATTAAAACAACAATGTCACCATATGGTTACACAAAGTATAATTGTATGAGAACTTTTGGAATGCTGTACATACCTGGGGGTTGAGGGTTACTATGGAACACTCCAGAGGAGGATGACACCTAATGAAGAGAAAATAGTTGCTGTAAACTGTGAATGAATCAATATTTTTATTTTGGAGGTGAGCTCTCATTTAATTTATAACAAGGCATTAGCAGGCAAAATGCCACCACCTCCCATTTGTTTCAGAGGTCAACCACCAACTACTGCCCACCAAACACCACCCACCAAACACCACCCACCAAACACCATCCACAATAAAGTTGGGAGACTATAATAACGATGTGTCAGCACTTGTGTTGGTGACATAATAAATGAAGTGTTGTTGAACCCTAAGCTTCTAGTATCAAGTCTTACTAGGATTGTCCTTTGTGTCAAAAATCTAATAACAGAGGATTTATCATTACAATACATCATGCACATAATGATCATGGATATATTGCTAAGTTTATTTCAAAAAAGAAAATTTTCAAAGAAGATAATAGAAATATGGAGCGATCAGATAATGAATTAATGGGTAATCGGTGAGTTTATTTCAAAAAAGAAAATTTTCAAAGAAGATAACAGAAATATGGAGCGATCAAATTAATTAATTAATGGGTAATCAGAGAGTTGACCAAATAATTAGCTACGTACCGCATTTATATACTGACTGGTTTGTCTAGGAAGAGGTGCATGTGAACCAGGGGAAACCTGGCCTGGTGCTATGTAATATTGTTGTGGATTTGAAGCACTGTAGAACTGCTGACTGCCATGACCTTGAGATGTACCAACCATATAGCCTTGTGGAATAGCCTTGCCCTGTGTATGTTTCCCCTGACATTGTGTAGGTGGTGTTTGGCCTTGCGTTTGTAGTAGGCCTTGACCTTGGGTGTGTAGGGCTTGGCCTTGGGTATATAGGGCATGATGATGGGTATATACAGCCTGACTATTGGTGAGCATCTGATGAGTGTTTGTATTGGGTTGGCTTTGTGATACCTGCAGTTGGTCAGGTCTGATGGTAGGGTGTGTGGTGGTCCACTGTCTGGCGTGCCATGTGTTTGGTGGGGTCTGCTGCAGGGGACTGGCAATCTGCTGGGGATTAGGAGGTGAATTAGCATATGAAAAACTTTGATTGATTGACTGTGTGGGGCTAGCTGCTGTGACCCGAGCCAGTGATGGATCCGAGTGTTGGTTTGTGAATAATGCTTTCACTGCAGGGTTGGAGTGTTTGCTGTTACTATCTGACGTGGATCGAATATACTGGGGACCACCGCTGTGTTGAACTATGGCCGGGTCCATATGCATGAGTGGCTTAACTGTAGCACCTGGATTGTTTCCTTTAGCATTAGGAGACCTAGGCAAGGAGGGCCAATGGGCGTCAATGTTTGCTAGACACTGTCCTTGACCTGGAGAGAACCCTTGAGGCCCTGCATGAATGTAACTCTGACCTGGAGAGTAACCGTGTCCTTGACTAGGAGAATAACCTTGACCTTGAGGGGTGAAATTGTGACCTTTTGGAGAAGAGATAATGTTTGAGTACCTCTGTGGTTGGGGTATTCTAATATCCATCAAAGACTGTGTATTGTTACTGGTAGATGATTGGAAGGTGGATGACTTTGGGGGTGTGAACACTAGCAAGTCTGATTGTGGACTACATTGAGTATAAGGTTGTCTTGAGATGGGTCCTGGAATCTGAGAAATATGTTGACTTAGGGGTCTTGACTGATTGTTCTGGAGTTGTCCTTGGATGTTTTTGCCTTGGCCTTGGGTGTAGTGGACTTGCCCCTGGATGAATGTTGCTTGTCCCGGTGAGTGGCTGAACTGGGCTTGGATTGGTGACTGGCCTGGCCTTGATATGCCTGGTGATTGACTGGGCCTTGCTTGTTGTTGGGACTGGCTGAACTGGCCTTGTTTGCTTGCTGACTGGGTGTATTTTGCTTGCCCTTGCCTTTGTTCTGTGGTGAAGCTGGCTTGGCTTGGCTCCCACCCTTGGATTTGTTGAAAAAGACTTGCTTGAATTTGGGCCTGGAATAAAGTTTCACTTTCAACATGAGGTTATTATTTCACTTGCTAACTTGATACAAAGTACTATTAATGATTGAAAATAATTGGAATAAGATTATATAAATCTGAAACAGAAGTATGTGTGGGCCAGTAACATTTCATAAGGTCACCCATGTCTACTGTTCATTTAGTTTGGTATCAAGTGCAATATTTAATTAAGGTGCTAAATATTTAAAGGAGGCATGTTATGAATTACTCTGGCTGCTATATACTGTGATAAGTTCTCATTTGTAAAGATAAATACCCACACATACAAATTTAACCTTATTTATTCCTTAATTATTAACTTATAGTTTATACAATATACATTAGTTACTTATCTAGCCACCAACTTTCCAATCATCACTCTTAGATACAGTATAGATGAACACATAAAGGCAATATAAAAATCAAGATTATCAAACTTTTTACAGTCCTAAAATATTTCATATATCCCCAATCTTTTAAGGTTTGAATTGACAAGAAATGAAACTTCAGACAGTCACATATTGAAGTTCAGATTGTCACACGTGTTTCAGAGTGGACCATTTAAAAGGTTCAATTGAGATTATGTGTTATTTATGCTAACTTGTTAAAAGGGAATAGACTAAAAGGTGTTATTCTTTATTCTACAGAATTGTATTTAAGATTGGATGCATGAGTCAAGCAGTCAATTTAGAATAAAAGAGTGTTGATTGCTAGATGGCCCAGGTTGTCCTTGTAGTACCTGTCTTGGATTGCTATAGACAACCTGGGCGCCGCTAGAGGGGGCTACGTACACAGGGGACTGCCCACTAGAGCTGCCGTAGTAGGTTCGTTCACCACGAGATGGTGTGGAGGCTGGGGATTGAGAACCATGGTTACCAGTTTTTGGTATTGGTCGCGCTTCAGTTCCTGAAAGAACACCATTTATTCAAACTCTCTCAAAAGTTCAAAACAGATGGTTGTACTAAACAGGATAACAGCAAATACATGCAATTTAAAGCACAAGTAATACAAATTTGTATAATACAAAGATTACATTAAATCCCTTTATGTTAATGACAAAGAATTGAATCATTTTTTCATCATTAAGATTTTGATCAGAAAATAATTCGATATGAATAATTTCTTACCTGTAAAAAGAACAAAAGAGTAGTAATTTCTCACCATGCTCACACAATAATAATCATTAAAAGAATATAGTAGCCCGGACAGAATTGTTCAATGGTCACTTTTTCTTTAATAACTTTTTTATTAATTTTCAGTATTATCAAAATCTGATTACATATTTGAAAACTAGAGTGAAATTCTGACATACAAAAAAATATTTAAGGAACATCTCTTAATTTTTTGATTTTATAGGCATTCATAGTATGAGTGACGCAAATACATAATTCACCATTTTGTCTCATATTTGTTCAAAAATGGAGGCATGTTTTGTGGATTTGAATGTTCATTTGAAAATTAATATTTATGAAACCTCATAGGCCTACAAAGTCATATGGACTGCTGCATTGGTATGAGGTAATGACTGCATTTAAAACCTTGTTTTAAATTGACTTGTATGTATACCGCTACATGTACTCAAAAGGTTTGTACATTTTATATGTACAGTATATTGGTTGGGGTTGCAGGATTTAAAGTTTTTGGCCATTCCATTGTTACCCAAAGTGGACCAGCAACCCTAGTTCGTTTAACCCATGCAATTATAGGGTCATACTGCCACAGTTTTTAATGTCTTTCCAGTCAAACTCCTCTTAAGCCGATCCTTGACATGCATGTGAATTGTTCTTCAGCTTTTCAATGGCCTCTGAGATGGCTGTTTGAGCTTTTGAAAAGACTGAGGACCTATTCTCATCACACCCCGCACATTGGGGCGCCACCTTTTCACATTCTCTTGAACACAACCCCGAACATTTCAATAGAGTTGACTTCATAGACCCTTGGAGGAGGGATGTCTCTTGTATTGATGATTAGTCAATGCTGCATTACATCAGGATTGTAAAGGTGGCAGCATGACCTTATAGGCCTCCGACAATCTTCAAATATTAACTCTCAACAGAACATTGAAATTAACGAAATATGCTGCCATATATGTCAAATATGAGGCAATATGGTGAATTATGTATTTGTGTCACACATATTATGAATTAAATGCCTTTAAAATCAACAAATTAATTTTGTATGTCAGAATTTCACTCTAGTTTTCAAATATGTAATCAGATTTTGATAATATTGAAAATTAAAAAAGTTATTAAAGAAAAAGTGACCATTGAACAATTCTGTCCGGGCTACTATGATAAACCATCTAAAATAATTAATAACTTCATATTTATGCACCTTGCTTATCCCTCCAGTTTCTGTTGTCTGAGTCTCTAGGTCTATCTGGTCTGTTGTCCCTCCAGTTATCTCGAGACTTCCCTGGGGACTCACCACCTTCTTGCTGTTTGTGTTCCCATTGCTCCCTTTGCTCTCTCTGGCGTGCAGCCCTAAACAGAAACAATAAGGATAGCATAAACATAACTAGAAAAACAGCAACTCCACAGAGTAGCAAATCCCACCGAACAAAACATGTTTTGATAAATAGCGGCCATATAAAATTTGAGCCAAATCCATCCACTGGTAATTGAGTGATCAAAGATTATGTTTTTATGAAACATGGTTGCCATTTTGAAATTCAGCTGTCATCTTTAGATTTCAGAGCTCCTAGGTCTCAAGGCATCAGCAAATAAAATTTAATCCAAATCCGTCAACTGGTATGTGAGACATCAAGGATGAAAAGTGGCGGAGATTTCGATGAATTGCAGCCACCTTGAAACTTACTTTTCAAGCAGAGCTCCTCTATCTCTAGGCATCTGTATATCAAATTTGAAGTAAATCTGTCCACTGGTATTTGAGTTATCAAAGATTACCTTTTTTATGAAAAATGGCAGCCATTTTGAAATTCAGTTGACGCCTTTCTTCTGAAGCAGATCTCCATTTTCCCTAGATATCAGCATATAAAATTGGAACCAAATCCATCAGCATATAGAATTTGAACCAAATCCGTCAACTGGTATTTGAGTTATCAAAGGTTACGTTCTTTTACGAAAAATGGTGGCCATTTTGAAATTAAGCTGCCATCTTGAAAATCCTATGTCCCTAGGCATCAGCATGTAAAATTTGAACCAAATCCATTCAATAGTATTTGAGTTAACGAAGATTATGTCTTTTTTACAAAAAATGGCGGCCATTTTGAAATATAGTGCATGTAAAATTTGAACCAAATCCATCCCCTAGTATTTGAGTTATCAAAGATTATATTTTTTCCGAAAAATGGCCGCCATTTTTAATTAAGCAGCCATATTGAAAATTCCTTCTCGAGCAGAAGTCCTACCTTCATAAGGCATAAGCCTAGCCTATAACATTTGAATCAAATCCGCCAACCGGTATTTGAGTAATTGCCCGGAGAGACGGATGAACGGACAGACGAACGGACGGACGAATTTCCTATATCCCCCTCGAATTTCGTTCGGTGGGATAATAATATAGAATACCACTGACATACAATTATACATTTACTTTTTATTTGGGTTATCAATTATCTGATTCTGTTCTTAAAATGAGTCTCAGTTTTAGTGATGGTATTAACTAATTAGTCAGCTTGACCTAGTGATCCTAGGTGGTCAGTTTGACCTAGTGATCCTGGATGGTTGGTCTGACCTAGTGATCCTAGATGGTCAGTTTGAACTAATATTCGAAGGCATTAGAGAGATTTCGCACCTAGTGAAATTACAACTTATAACGTATACTTATACTTATAGGTAAACGTACAAGGTGTTTCATAATGTGGGCTTTTCGTCAGGAAAGATCTTCTCGGACTGTAATAAATACAGGTCAAAGGGATGCCATTTGTACTTTCTTGAATTGTAGCATGTTTAGTTGATCCAAATGTGTTTGTCTAGAATAAAATAGGCTCATATATAGTACATATTTTATAGAACCGTCTCTTCTCAAATTGACTTTTGGAGATGCTCGTTATGAAACACCCTGTATGTCATATGTTGAGCTAATGGGTCGTTTCCAGGAATTGCTAGAACCTACTGGTTTGATTGGTGTTTCAAATTGATGGTTAAAGTATTTGATTGGATACTGTTCCCACTCAGCCAATTAATTTCAAAAAATGCTTGCGGTCAATTGTTCCACACACATGTAAGCAAATTTTTATACGGAGAACCAACTGTATACGTTATCATCTACGTAAATATACTGTTTTGTAAGTTCACTGAACTTATACTGATCATGAAAACATTGAAATAATCAACTTGTTTATGTAATGACTCACTTTAAAGAATCATGACTCACTTTAAAGAATCGTGTTTATAATACACTACAACAACTAGGACACGGAAGCAAGCATTTAATTATAATGTGCATAATCTACACATGCAGATGACAGTGCATTCACAGTCTCTAGTTGATGGAGCTTTTCTATAACAGAATAGTTATGTTCCATGAAGTACAATTTAAAATTGATTTTAGTAAATATAATAGTTCGACATGACCCTTTAAACTATACGTATACGTATAAGTTGTACTTTCACTTATGTGCGAAATCTCTCTAATATGTCAGTTTGACCTATATAACCAGTTTGACCTTGTGATCTTAACCAGTCAGTTTAACCTAGTGATCCTAGATGATCAGTTTGACCTAGTGATCCTAGATGGTCAGTTTGACCTAGTGATCCTAGGGGGTCAGTTTGACCTAGTGATCCTAGGGGGTCAGTTTGACCTAGTGATCCTAGATGGTTGGTCTGACCTAGTGATCCTAGATGGTTTGATTTGACCTTGTTTCCCTGATCCTAGTTAGTCAGTTTGACCCAGTAGTCTTACCTAGCGACTCTTGAAAATCAGTTTGACCTTGTGATCCTAGATGGTCAGTTTGACCTAATGGTTGAGGCAATATGTCAGTTTAACCTAAAGTAGTGAAAAATTTGGTCAGTTTAGCTTAAAGATCATAGGTGTATGTACCCTTTGCATTCGTTTGACTTCACTTCTTAAAAGAGAGCTTCGTCTTCACTCTTTCAAACTAAAATAAACCTGTGAACTCACCGCGCCAATCAGTGTTCGTCGGCCAAATTTGACCGACGTTCTTTGTATGGTCATTCCTTCTGACGTCATCAGTGAGCCCGGAATTGACCAATGACATGCGCATATTTAATTAGAACGCATTTGGCGTATGTTTTCAAGCTCGCTGATTGGTGTAAGGTCAGCGCGTAGGTCAAAAGTGATTTACCTTAACTGTCACCGGTACAAGGCGGTACCCGTCGTGGGGGCGGGGCTACTAAACTGTAATATGGTCTCTACTAGGCAGAGTGTAGTTTAACTAGACTCTGCACGCAGGGTAAGGTGTATGATCAGATTTACCTTGTGGTCTTAAAGGATTGGTTAGTTTGAACTTATCAATTTGAGCTAGTGGACTTAGATATATGATTGATTTGATATTTTTGTTTTAGAAGATAGGTTGGTTTGACCAAGAGGTCTCTCAGTTTGACCTAGCGGTCTAAGACGATTGGTCAGATTGACCTATACTGGCCTTAGATTATCTGTCAATTTGACCTAGTGTGATCTGTCAGTTTGACCTTGTGGTCTTTGGTGAGTGGTCAAACTGAAAATGTTCGCAAGTCAAATATGTCTCACTAGCAAAAGATATGATACCAATATATAATTGTTATATAATGATGGGGCACACATAATGTTAAAAAATTCTGCCACTCCTTCTTGTTTAAATTAGTTGCCACGGCGTATTTGATGTCAAGTTTAAAATTTAACACATCGTCAATTTAATGGTCATGTTTTGAATGGTAACAATATAATTTGAAAAATATATATTAACTTTCATCTATATTGTTTTAGAAAACACATCAAACACTTGTTTTGTTCTTGGCATCATGTTTCCAGAGTGAAATGAAACATCTTTCCGAACCTCATTGGAACAAAACGACATAAACACAACATGTTTAGGTCTCTCAATATTGTAATTACTACAAAGAAAATTTTGGTTGATTTTAAAAAGTATCTTGTTAATGAAATAAAAGGTTTATCTTGATTTTTTCTATTTTTGGGGATTTTGTTTTAATTTTTTGAATACTTTTTTTCCAACCAAAAATTCCTTTGTACATGTATAACTATAATATTGAGAGGTCTAAAAACATGTTGTATATGTTATTTTGTTCCAACAAGGTTCAGAAAGACATTTAATTTCATTCTCAAGAATTGGTAGAAAGGAGCAAAAACCAAAAATGTTAACAAAAACAGTTATATAAAATATTTGTAAGTAATTTTCACATTAAATTGTTGTCAATCAGTCAACCTTACATAAGATACCGTGCTTTTTACAGAATGTTATCAATAATTGGTTTAAAAGAAAAACATTGTTGAATTCAGTTCTCCATATCAATACCACTCCTTTGAACTTTGTTCAACTTGATTCAGCTTGCTATCTCTCAAAGATAAAAAGGATCAAGAAGGTTAGAGCATTACAAAGGGATTACATATTCAGATCATTATTTCACCTTATTACACATAAGATACAACAAGAATGATTCCAGTAGTAGATTTTAGTACGTATAACTTAAGGGATGTCACCAGCTCACCCTCTGATGAAGCCCTGGCCAACTTGGCTACAGATGTCTACAGAGCATTCAGTGAAGTTGGATTTCTTTACTTGGAAAATCATGGATTTGACCTTTCTCTGGTAAGTAAGGGAGTTTGTTAATTTTGCTGTTTTTTTATGTACCCATGTACTGGATGTATGGAATATACATGTTACATTGTATATTAAAATTGAGAGACACTTAAAATATTTAGACGTACATAAAAGAACATTCTCTCACAATTTTGACAGAATGTGTATCTATAGACACCCATAAAATAAATGGAAAGTACAGGGTGTCCGGAAAGTAAGGATACAAATACTCTAATTTTAAGAGATTTCGGATTTTCGCAATGAAATTGCTACAGATTGTAGAGGAACCTTATTACAATGTGTCTATCAACTCTCAACGCATATAGTCTAAACCGGTTAAAGTTATGGTTGTCATGGTTACAGAGGTGAGAGGTATGTGGAGCAGTTCCAGAACATTGCTAAAATCTGATTAATTGCTAAAATATAACCATTTGAAAGAGTGTTGATCATTGTGTTTTCTATCAATTTTTTGTATTCTTCAATATTGTATTATTGTTGCTATAATGTTCTTTCATATATATAATGGTGTCATTGATACATGTCAGGACTATGTTATGTCATCAGTATAATCAAAGAAGAGTTTAGAATAAAAGTTCCCTGGGTTAATAAGGAAAGTCAATATTCCACCTCCACAATACACCAATTCACAAAGCCAACAAATCTCAAAATGGAGTGTCTTGACATTAAACCTTTTTGTTCAATGCCCCACCCAAGAATGCCCCTTTAGACTTCAGCCTTAATGAGCATCTCAAAGTGATATTTGTGAGAAGTTCAGTATTCAAATGAGACTCAACTGGAAGCCAATGTTATCAGCAATTTGAGAGATGGACAGCAGCGGTTTTGTCAGATCTTTGAATCTCTGGTCAAGATGCACCATAAACATAAAAATAATGCGGAGGAAACATATTACTGGATAATAGTAGTCATGTTAAATGATAAAATAACATGAGAGTACTAATCCTTATGCTGTTGTGGGACATAATTTGAAGCTTTATAGGAACAAATGGGTTGAGTGCCAAGATGATTTGAGTAGGAAAAAGATTTATAAAAGACAATAAAAAAAATAATTGTGATGCTGCTCCACATACCCCCAACTCCCGTTACCATAATGACCATAACTTTTTCATTTTGAAACTATATGTCATGACAGTTACAGGATAAATTGTTGAAATGCCAAATGTAGAAATTTCATCTCACAACAGGTAAATCTATTGAAGTTAGAGCATTTGTATCTTTACTTTCCGGACACCCTATATTTCAATTTATAAGTGTAAACTTTCAGTCTAATCTGTCTCTTCTATCCGATATATATGAACTGACATGAAGAGTTCCATTTATGCTGTAATGAAATTGAAAAATTGACTAGAAACAAATATACTGTAAGAACATACCTTTGAATCAAATCAGGGTGGTCAAACAAAATAAAAAAAAAAGGTATTTGTTCTATTCAATAGCAATGTAGCCAGTGTGATAGAAATGCATATATGTTCTTTTAAAAGCACATATAATTTAAACAAGGAAATTTTACCTTGCCAGAGAAGAAAATTCCAACAAATAAAATATGATCTCTCATCAAGTTATTTTAACATCTACAAGATGTTACAATATAATATTTGAAACCTGTTCATTAAACCTTCAATTTGCATATATAAAAGGGACTAAAATCGTAGATTACTTAAAGGAATATTCCTGGCCAGACCATTTCTCTCCTAATATGGTAGCTATAACCATATATATACTTTCCATATTTAGCAAAACAGGGAAAAATGTTTTGATATGGTCAATATTGATCACTTGAATATGTAGTGCCGAATTCCAGTAGGCTGCCATCTTTTAATATTTCACTCAGGAAGTGATGTCATTGACTCTCAAAAATTGCATATAACACTATAGGAGGAGCTATTAAGAATTACAAAACCAGCTGAATATTCTTTTTCAATTTTGTCTATGATTTAATCCTTCTAAAAGTCTCTTCTTTTATTCTAAGCTGACAAGCTCTGAACATATTTTTGCGCATAAAGTAAGGATCACCCATCTAGAAGTGATATTGTGCTATTTTCCTATACTGTTATATGCAAGGTCATGAAAGTTGAGAGTCGATGGAATCACTTCCTGAGTAAAATCTTAAAAGATGGCAGCTTACTGGAAATGAGCACTACATTTTTAAATTATCAATATTGACTATATTAAAACATTTCCCCATGTTTTGCTAAATATGGAAAGTATATATATGATTATAGCTATCACATCAGGATAGAAAAGGTTTGGCCAGGAATGTTCCTTTAAGATTTTGCGGCATTTCTGGGAAAAATCATTCATTTGCAGTCTCTTATATTGGGTCTTTGATAAAAGTTAGTCAGAAAACTCCTGCACTACAAGTGGTCAAAGACATTGCAGTAATCTTTGTTCACATTATGTAAATATTCAACACATTACATAAATATTTCTCTTCGTGTTATAAAGTCACATTACATAAATATTTATCTACATGTTATATGTTGATATACATATTTAACTACTCCATGTCATATAAGTAACAAGCAGATAATAGAATGATATACTCTGACCTCAAAAGGTAGCAACAGGAGTCCATCTATGAATTACGTATGGGATATCCTATGATTATTAGAGATATCATTTTTATCCACGAGTTGATATCAATATCTGGACGTGTGAGTGTAGCGAATGAGTGCAGATATTGATATCAACGAGTGGATTAAAATGATATTGCTAAAAAATCATAGGATGTTCTATTTATCCCATAGTTGACATCAAATCATCCTATGGCATAGTTCACCAAGTACAAAGCATTTCAAGACAATATCAGTTTTATTTTGTCATTTGATTAATCATTTCCATATTTGTGATGTCATGAAATCACCATGTAAGCATATAATGTAATACCATATAACAATGCACGTCACATTGACGGGAGTTTTCAAATCCGTGGAAAAAAGTGATATCTATGGAATATTCTCCATATTCCACAGATATCGCTTTTTTCCTCGCATTTGCAAAATATCATAAATATATATATACGTGTTATCCTACAGATTTGACCTCCACTATGGGATAAAGGTATATATTTTTGACTTTGATCTTTAGACAAGACGTTAGACCCAAATTTTTATTAAATTAAATAAGTAACCCTAGGCCTCATACATTTAAAAATCATTGTTTTACCATCCAAAAAGTATAGGTCATTTTTTAATAATTTCACAATTTTTCAAACAAAATCTCCTTCAAACATAATTTGAGATTGAGAAAAAAGTAACTTGACATTGAGAAAAAGTTACACATATCAGATTTTGAGAACACTGTGTGAGCTTAAAATAAATGCCTAATGTGGTTTTAACTGTATTGAGACCTTAAACCTTTCATGAAACCAATAGGCTAACACAGGCATTGCAAAAACAATCATAATGCATCGATAGCATATGCAATGACCCTGATCTTGACCTTAAAAATGACCTTGACTTTTGATGATGAGCCTACTGTACATGACCTATAACCTAGAATACTGAATTTTACAATAAACATACATTTCAGATTGACAATTACATGAAGACTTCAAAGACATTCTTTAATTTACCTGCAGAAACAAAGAAGAAATATCTAGTTGGCACAGGCGAAGGCAGCAAGGATATGTACCATGGTTATATACTTCATGAACAGTAAGTACATCTAAACGTTTGTATTTAAAATCTGATTAAAATGACCAAATCAAAATTCATGAATGAAATAATAAGCTTAAGGGGATGCCTAATATTCTAGATGCATGATTGACATATATGATTATGGTTGCAGCACTGATGCGACAAGTAAAGCTGAAGACTTGAAGGAATGTTTCAACGCTTACATGCATTGGAATGGGGTAAGTGAATTAAATATTGCCATATAAGGTCATATTGCCATATAAGGTCATATTGCCATATACAGTCATATTACCATAAAAGTCATATTGCCATGTAAGGTCATGTTGCTATATATATAAGTGCCATATAAGGTCATATTGTCATATAAAGTCATCACTTTAACTCTTACATTCATGAAATATTCTAATATTTCTGTATCCCCTGCTTAAAAGATGGCTTGAATTTTTGCCTTGTCATTTTTAACTTGTATTTTCTAGGAGTGGCCTGAGGATGACTCCCCAAGCTTTAAGACAGAAAACCTCAATATTATGGAAAAGTGTTGTGAGTTGAATAAACGCATTCTTGAAGTGATAGCCATAGGAATGAAATGGGTAAGAGAAAAATCTATTAGATCTACAAAATAATAAGTACATGTAATAAATATTGACAAAATCAAGAGATTTAAAGTTTATAATTATGTCCAATTATAACACAGAGGATAGAACTTCTCATGCCTTATAGGAAACCTGTAAAAATCCAAATCCACTTGCATTCAAAAATCTGGAAAAAAATTTCTAAGTAAGAAAATTAGGTTTGTGAAAAATGTTCACCTGTTGAAATGAGCCATAAAACAACCAGTGAGAAAACTGCACTTCGATAAGAATTATAAGCAGAATACAGTCACATATGAGTATGCTAGTTTTTCATTAAATTTACAGCCCAGGGATACATTCACCAAACACCACAATAATGACAAAGTCAGTCAGAACACTCTGCGTACACTGAACTACTTCCCATTACCCAAAGGCTATACCATCCAACCTGACCAGACAAGATGTGGACAGCACTCAGACTATGGCTCACTGACATTAGTATTCCAAGATAACATTGGGGGCCTTGAGGTCATGAACAGAGATGGGGATTTTGTGCCTGCCACACCGATACCGGGCACGATTGTAGTAAATCTTGGTGACATGATGCAGCGCTGGACAGATGACAAACTGAAGTCAACAGTGAGTAAACTTTCAATGAATGTGATCAACAAGCATTTTTGCAAACCATTGAAGAAGCAAAGGTTTTCCTACATCATTTTTGTAAATAATGTTATCCTATAAATCAACCCACAGATTAAAATACAGTGGTTCCCAGTGCCTCTAACAATCTAAGTATGTAAGACCTTACTGTCTATAACATATTCCAGATACACAGAGTGACTGTCCCCAATGACACCACTCATGCAGTGAAAGGTCGTCAATCTATGGTTTTCTTTAATTGCCCAGACAGTGATGGTATGATTCAATCAATGGACCCTAATGGTGGAAAGTATAAGCCAATCCTCTGTAATGATTATTTCCAAATGAGGCTAGCTGGCATCAAAGTAATAGACTAAGGATCAGGCCACAACTTGAAAGGATGTAAATTAAAGACAATGAGGCATGTCTTGAGCCGATCAACCCTGTGGACATACAGTTGACCATTTGCTAAATAGCATATGTGTTGGTAGGGTCGGAATACTATTCATAATATATAGACAATTGGTAAAAGTCACTTAATTTCTTGATTTCCACTTGAATTTATGTAAAACGTTTGAAAAGTAACTCTATGATCTTGTTGACATGTGGATTGTGAATTTAATATTAAAATTGTGAACCTTAAGAGTAAATAAACTTTTAAAGATTTTTTTAACATTGTGTCAATGGGTAATTAGCCCCACCTTTTTCAAAAAATGTGAAAATCATGGAAATTCGAACAAACGTAAATAACCATGCCAATCAAAGCTGTTTGAATAGAAAATTACAGGCAGAATTAAAAGGCCACTTAAACAAAAAAATGTTGGTTTTAATACTGTATTTTTAAATGCAGATCTCTTAAAATCTCATTAAAAACAAGATTTCAACGAGATCTCTAAGCTATAAGCAAACCTCCTATTAATTCAAGGTTTCAATTTATTTTTCAATATATGTAGGTTCAATTTACATTTGAACACTCCCACCAAGGCCCAATGAACAATCTAGACAAGTTTCTCTCACCTTTCTTTTCTGTTCTGCACAACAGGACAGTCTTTAGCAAAGTGGCCAATCTTTGAGCATATTCTACAGCCTCTGTCATTTGGGGGTGCACCATCAGTTAGCAGCTTGGGATCAAACAGATAATCCTGCAAAGAAAAATACATTTTGATTTATTCTTTGTAGTCTATTGTAGCAATCAAATAATAAAAAACAATTCATACATAACTTGGCAAGGTGTGCCTGATTTCAGCCAATCAGAACACAGTATTTCATATAACTGCACTGTATTTTATTATTAAAAAGCACACAATGTAATTTGTTCAATGGTTGTCAAGGTGACAACTTGACTCTACAGATTGAAATTGAAACTTTGAAACTACACCTTTTTGAGGAATGATTCAGTCCACAATGCACCAGGGCTTAAATCCTTAATAACTAATAAATAAGTATTAAAGTAGATAGGTATTGAATTAGTTAGTTATAAATAAAACATGTCCAGAACTCTATTACAATAACTTTGAGAAGGGGACATTTCATGAACACCATGAGCATCTAAATGTGCATGCTGTCAAGAACAATTTTAAAATGATGAATTCTAAAAAGTTTGTTTACCAGAAGGTTGCTGTAGTTTCTTGGTAGGGTGTCCACAGGTATACCAAAGATGTGTCGACCTTTGATGAATGCCTTTTGGATAAATGTATTCACTGAAATAGATATAAGAACCAATTATTTAGTTACTAGATTGCAATTCCTTTTATTACACTTCGTTATGTACACACATGTAGGCATAAAATCATCTAATGTAGGCTTCAGCCTGATTGTTGCACGTGTAGCAACACCTGGTTGGGAAGTTTCAATTTGCCTAGCAAGTACAACACGTTTTTGAGAGATAGATTCGATTCTGAACTTTTCTCTAATAATCTAAAATTATCAATACAAAATGGTAAGAGTGTTTCTAAAATTGTGTCCAAAATCGACAGAGCGTTTCGAGGAAAACAAGCAATTTCTCGATAACAAGTGATGGATTTGGACTGGGATTTTAGCAAATGAGAATATACAAGTTTGTGATCTACTACTTTGGCAGAAAGATTGACGTTTTCATATAAATACTAGCTTAATTCATAATTTGTGGTCAATTAGTCAACTTCAGATTCGTTTGATCTACACTATGGAGCTTTGATCAAGTAAATAACAGTTTACCACGAGAAGTTGAATAAATAAGATCTTTGCTCAGGGTATTGTTCATCAATGGTATATACATGTACTGATTTCAAAGATTATTGCATATACTGATTCCAATGATTATTGCATATACTGATTCCAATGATTATTGCATATACTGATTTTGAAGATTATTGCATATACTGATTCCAATGATTATTGCATATATTGATTCCAATGATTATTGCATATACTGATTTTGAAGATTATTGCATATTCTGATTCCAATGATAATTGCATATACTGATTCCAATGATTATTGCACATACTGATTCCAATGATTATTTCATATACTTACTTTTGCGTGATACACCTGCACCCAGATTATGATTCAGGTCGAATGGATCTAAAATGAATGAAAGTTAGAAATTATCATTGCATGAACATTGAGGGAAATAATCAAGAATTTTGAACGCTTTAACAGTTAGGGGGGAGGTCTGCAGAGCAGCCATATTAAATATTTCTTCTTGCACAGAGCTCCTACACCCATAAGGCTATAAAGTTTGAACCAAATCTGTCAACTGGTATTTGAGTTATTGCCAGAACACACAGACAAGGGATGAATGAATGGACAGACAGCTTTTCTATATCCCTACAAACTTCACTGGTGATCCACTCGATTACGCTGGTTACCGAAACGGTTCGTTTTGGTAACAAAATGTCCGAACGTCGAAGGTACAAATTTTTTTTTTCCTTATTTCACGCATTGTAGGCAGAATCCCCAAGACGTTTTTTCTCACAAACGTGTATCATATGATACTGATACACGTTTGTGTTAAAAAATGTCTTGGGAATTCTGCCTACAATGCGTGAAATGAGGAAAAGAGAAAAGTTGTACCTTCGATGTTCCGACATTTTGTTACCAAAACGAACCGTTTTGGTAACAGCGTAATCAAGTGGATCACCAGTGAAACTTGAAAATTACTTCTGATGTCACATCATGGGTGAAGATTTTGCAAAAGGGTGACAATACTACAATTTCGGGTATTTTTATAATAAATTGATCAAAATAGAGTGATAAAATTTTGTTTATTAGGATTTGCTATTGTATAGGGAGTTTTTCTCATAGCTTTCTCACAGGTAGAATTGAAGGTGGAGTAGTGAATGTGAATCTAATGTACTTATACATATTTGGTACAAGGATCATACAATCAGGTCTATATCTGAAGTCACACAGATATTTTAACTTCTCATATCAAATGGAAATATCTTACATTACATTATCATAGCTATAATCATAATGTCACAAAGTGTCATATAAAGCTTAAGCTTTAAATAATATGACAGAAAATGTTTTTTTGATTTTTCAAAGATTGCCATTCTGGGCATATAATAATAATGTTTTAATTACATTTTGGAAGGACTTTTCAAAAAACATATATTATTAAATCCATAGTCATTTTTGACAAATTACAAGTACATGACAGAAATAACATGAAAGTAGTAGAGTAAATTTCATCTCTTTTGGCAAAATGATCTACACCCATGATGAAATGATGGCTATATCAAATTCTTCTTGAGCAGAGGTCTAATTGACCTAAAGGTATTTAAGCACACAAAATTTGGAGCAATCTAGTAAGTGCCAATTGTGTTATCTGGAAAATTAATAATATTCCTAGATCCTGAAAAATTCAGCATTCATTTTGATAATTCCTATCTCCATAAGGCATCAGCATGCAAATCCATCAACTGGTATTGAGTTACTTATCAAAGATTACATTTTTAATAAAACTGGTGGCCATTTTGAATTGAGAGGTCTGGAAAGTCATTCTCGAGCAGAGGTCCTTTGCCCATACAACATAGCTTATAAAATCTGGACTAAACAATGGATGGACAGACTTACAAATGGTTGGACAACAGCTTCTCTATATCCCAACCAGACTTCATTCAGTGGGATAATAACATTCAACAGGTGGCATGGTAAAGATCTTATTAATAGCACAAAAACTATACCTTCTATTGCAATGCATTTGCCATTCCATAGTTTCTCGAGGCACGATAAAGGCTTTATACTTCTGATACTGATAACATAGTCTTTAAAGTTGAATACTTCTGTGTAGAAGCGCAGAAACCCAATCCAGAGTTCAGCTACGCTTTCTTTATTCTTGCCACAGTCAGGCCACAATTTGGTCTGAAAATATTGTACACTGTACAAAACTTCTTCATCATGAGTTTGTTTATTTTTGTTATGTTGAATTTTAAAGAAAAAGGTTCGCAAGAGGAAAAACTAATGATATCATTGTGCCTGAGCAATGGCAGGTTGTAATTGGTGCCGCAAATTTTTGGTAACTTATGGAAATTTGATATAACTCTTGCAAAGTTATTAATTTAAGTCATATTGTACAATGATACATGTTGAGTGTATGTTAACTCCTTACCAGTAAGTTTCCATCTGGACAGAACCAAGCATTCCAGCCATCTACTAGTGTTTCTGGTTTATCTGGACCCTCGTACATCTGAAACAGTGAACAGTTATATGTGAAAATCAACAAAGCTCATTTCATCAATCATATAGAATTCCATGGAAATTACGTTTAAAGCGGAAAATTTAAGAAAATCTGCATATATCTTTCTACATGAAATTTTCTTTGAGGTAAATATTACTGGGATTAGCTCTCAGTAAAAAAGCATGGTTTGCAGTAACATTCAAAGGCTGTGAAAACATGTTAGTGAATGGACATTCAGACAAAATGTTCATACACACCTCATACATATTTCATATTGTACAGTACAGTGAAACTTGTAAAGCTGAGCACATCTACGAGTATAAGTATTCGTGGAACACTTTTCAGAGACCCAAGACCAACTGACTTAATGTTAAATGAACCTTTAATAGGAACACCTCCCAAGTAGAACACTTTTTAGAGGAACCAAGGGTGTTCCATTTAAACAGGTTGTATATAAGAATACCAAAGCTGTATTTACCTCTTGAAGGACTGGAATCACAGCGGGTTTGCGTTGTTGTAGGAAATACAACAGCATCAGTATGTAGGCGTATGAAGATAAACTACCCCGAGATGCATCTCCTATATCACAGATCTGGAACATCATAATTCAGAACAATTAATGATTCATGCACAAGATAGCTTGAATACTGATAATTGATGTTCAAAACAACCAGCTGAAAATGGACTAAAAATCATTTTTTACAATGTTAGTTAATGTGACTTTTGAGTCTTATATTAGCAAAAACCTTAATCAAAACTCATGAAACTAGTGTGCGTGAATTCACACATAACTAGGCAAGGTGTATCCGATTCCAGCCAATCCAAACACAGTATTTCTCATGACAGCAGTGTATGAAATAATTAATAACAAATTTGTTTTGTATAGTTGTCAAAGTAAGGATATTGAAATTGATTTGCCAATACATGTACTTGACCCTTGCAACAAGTTTCATTAAAAAAATGTTCTTTTAGTGATTTTGTATCTTTTAGGTGATTTTGTAGAAAATAATTTGCAATGTGTGAAAGGAATTTAAGCCCAAGACGCATTATAGCTGCTTCATTCCACTCATACGTTGTTTCCTAAACTTTGCATTCCCACTGCACGGTCATGCATAGATTTGGAAACAACACCTTCATGGTATGATTCAGCAAACACAGTCCAGGGCTTAAATCCTTAATTATCTGACACTGATTACCTTAGCAAAGTGTTTAAGGCAGTAGCCAAGAATCCGCACTCTGGAGTCTATTTCACTATACATCCTCAGCATATCTGTATTGTGTTGAGCCTAGGATGAAATAGCAGAACTATTTATCATTAATATATTAATTTAATTTCAGGATTATAGCAGTAAAATTTATATTATCTACCAGAGGCAGCGCTTGCATTAGGCTCTGAAAAATGTGAGTCCCAATGAAGGAAATTTTTTTAAAAAGTGAGTCCCGACCGAAAAAAGTGTGTCCTCCAATATATAAGCTTAATTAGCTAAATTAGCTATAATGGGCTATTTTGGAATGTGCATGACTTGATCTTACATGCCTTATGTGTTTTCAAAATGTTGCCATTCGTGCCCTGTGATTTAAACATGTTCTTTATATTCAATTCACTTATGTTATGTAACCTCCAGCCTGTTATAGTAAGTACTATTATACTGTGATTATCTTTATACTTGCTGTTTGCACTGAACAACTGCTTGAAAAAATAAGAACATTTTTTAGTATGAATTTGTCTGACGCTCAGTAATTTAGTGTATCACTACATTTTCTACATGATCAGAATCCTCTGATTTATATCATAAATTAGACCATTTTGACCACATGCTATCTATTGCAAGACTAACGCCTGGTGTAACCGTCACCATGTTATTCGGTGTTTTTTAAGTAGCGCAAGGATCCTGCCATGACCGTGGCAGTGTTATTTTGTAAGCCTGGTATAACCGTGACAACGCTGTATTATATTGCAAGGCCTGTCATGACCGTGGTAATGCTATATTATATTGCAAGGCCTGTCATGACCGTGGTAATGTTAAAGCCCCGTATGACCGTGACAATGGTTGCAAGGCCTGTCATGACCGGGACAATGCTATATTATATTGCAAGGCCTGTAATGAATATGGTTGTAATGCCTGTCAAGACTGTGCTAATGCTGAAGCCTGATATGACCGTGACAATGCTTGTAAGGCCTGTCATGACCGTGACAATGCTTGCAAGGCCTGTCATGACCGTGACAATGCTATATTATATTACAAGGCCTGTCGCGACCGTGGTAATGCTATATTATATTGCAAGGCCTGTCATGACCGTGACAATGCTTGCAAGGCCTGTCATGACCGTGACAATGCTATATTATATTACAAGGCCTGTCGTGACCGTGGTAATGCTATATTATATTGCAAGGCCTGTCATGACCGTGACAATGCTTGCAAGGCCTGTCATGACCGTGACAATGCTATATTATATTTCAAGGCCTGTCGTGACCGTGGTAATGCTATATTATATTGCAAGGCCTGTCATGACCGTGACAATGCTTGTAAAGCCTGCCATGACCGTGACAATGTTATGTTATATTGCCGTATATATTATATGACCGTAATAATGATTGAAAGGCCTGTCATGACCGTCAGAATGTTAAAGTAGCATGAGAACACCGTAATGACAATTTTTCTTCGTGTTTAACTACCTTAAAGATGTAAATAAAGACTACGAAAAATGTGTATTAATTTCACAACGAAAACCTATAATTTTTACTCATAAATAATTTGCTAACAAACTATATCTCTACTCTCATTCAAGGAGCTTTGATTCGAAAGCATATACTTTCTATAATGATCAATAAATAAGATTTATCCATAAAAAATACAAACAGCAACGGGCGAACATAAAGGTCATTAATGTCATATAAAGGTTACGGTCGCGACAGGCTTACACGATTACACTACCACGGTCATGGCAGGCATTTTAATATAATACAGCATTGTCGCGGTTATACCAGGCTTTCACGATAACATTACCACGGTCATGGCAGGATCCTTGCGCTACTTAAAAAACACTGAATAACATGGTGACGGTTACGCCAGGCGTTAGTCTTGCAACAGATAGGGTCTCATTTTGACGTTATATAATCACAAATAGACTACTTCACCTAGGTAAGTACGCATCATTTGTACAATTGAACTCATTTTGAAGGTTTCATATCAGCTTTTCAGTGAGAAAAATATGTCACATGCAAACTGATAACCTATTATCGCCCATTACAATAGTTCGTTTTTCTGCATTCTTTTTCTTTTTTACTCAAAATAAAGTTGTAAATCTCACATATTTTGACCTTAATATACATCTCAAAGAAGTCAAACATGATCAACTATTGAGATTTTCAAGATTTTCAAAAAATGTTCAAAGTTTTGACTCAATTTTTTTCCGTCCCAAAAACAGAAATATTTTTTATTTTTCCGTCCTACAATTTTTTTTTGCGTCACTTACATGTAAGGGACGCCGTTAATGCAAGCCCTGACCAGAGGGAATGAAATATAAGTCAATTTTCCATTTTTAACCTTTAAATTAGGGTATTTGCACAATTTCAAGCAAATTTGTGGAATGCTTGTTGAGGTACGACCAGAAAAAGCTGAAAAAATCGCCACCATTTTGAAGTGATCAGCTGCATTTTATGCTCCACAGGAAATTGATAATGGGCTTCTGTACAGGGCTACAGGGTACAGATAATTTTAACATATCAAATCAAAACGTCACCATCCACTATTCATTACAGTTGCCAAACACAATCCACAAAAAAGTTGGAGACTATAACAAAATACCACTTTCTAGTGGTGACATAGAAGCTTCCAATTACATAACTCTCATATATATAACAATAGCATATAGTCAAAATGTGTACTAAACTGTTACATTTACTTCAGCAACTACTGCTACCTACCAGTGTATTATAGAGACTAATGTCACCCTCTAGTTGGCTGCGTCTGTGTTTGAACTTAACTATAGGCACCTTGGCTGTTGTGATAGGTACCACCTGGTAGAGACCCTTGCACTGTCTCAGCTTAGTGGCCAACTTCTCTATGATATCAACACAATCAAGGTCCTAAAAGCAAAAACAGAAGTTAAAGGACTATACTATTGGCTCATAAGATGACATGTTACTATTCAATCAAACAATTTTGATCAGGGCAAGCTGATTATTTCGCATTCCAATTTGACAACCAGTCCACAATTCAATTTTGATCAGTTGGTTCGATTTCTTATGATGCCCCATGAGTTTAATATCAAAATAGCATGCATACTACCAAAGCAGGATTGAGGAATAAATCTGTCATACCTCTGAAGTCTTAGGTCCCAATGTCATACAGATGTCAAGGTCACTTGTACGAAAGCCAAACCCATTACAGGAAGAACCGAACAAAGATAGAGAGGCATCAGGGTGGAGCTCTTTCACAAATTCTTCTATCTCTAACAGAATCTGCTCTCTTCTTTGATCATCTTGCTCTGTGGGCATTGTTTCAACTATTAGAAAGAAAACCAAGAATCTATTGCAGTCTTTGACTTTCAAAAGGCTGTATTCATCTTGTGGAATAAGGAAATTTTTCAATCAATGGACCTTTTCACTATTTGTTTAAAAATAATTATTCAAAAATATAGCTCAAAACAGTGATTTTAACTCATTTGTAAATTCTGCAACTAAACATGGTTGCTCATATTCCAGAAAATCTACTATTGCTTAAAAATGCCTCAAATGGCACAAGTCTCCATGATGGTAAATTAGTTAACTTACATGCCAGTTGATGCAGCGCAGCACCGAGATTTTGCATATAGGTCTTCCCAGGAACTGGTAAAGGCAGCAAGGCAGGCAGTGTTTCATCAGGGCACATCTTCTTTAAGTGTCCTTCTTTCCCACATATGCTACATATAATTGCTGGACCCTGGAAATAGGAAGAAAACACTTAAGGTACTTGTTGGCTCATCATATAACTTAATGACAAATACTTGTTGTGAATCAAGGATTCAACCGTTATCTTTATTTGGGTTTTAGTATTAAAGAATGAATGCACAAATCGCTATATATGAAACCTAAACTTATTAAAACCTAAGGTGGGATTGAATGTGTACATTATCATCTGTAAGTTAGACTCACCGTTCCATCGGTGAGTGTCTCTGTCTTGAAAAGGAAAGCATAGTCACTCCGCTTAAGCCTGCCTACTATCCTGGCCCTGTATATGCCATATTTCACTGCAGATTCTATGAATTCTTCATCATTTTCTAAATGCAAGAATGGCTCTAATTGTTCATTATCACCACCTTGTGAGGTTGTAGATTTCTTAGCAGTTTTGCATGTTGGTGGCTGTTGGACTGCCTCCCTTGTTGATGTAGAATCATCTACTGACTTGAGAGTTGCTATTGCACCTGATATTACATTTATAACTAGATTTCCTGCAAAACGTCTTAGTTCTTCATCATTTATTGTTTGGGTACAATTGCTATTGACTGTATCCTCTATACTAGTAGTATCTATATGTTGATTTATAACACTATCATTTAAATTCGTGTCATCAATCAATTCTACAAGTGAATCTAGATCTTCATCTGCAATTGGAACATCACTGTGTGTATTTCTTTCTATGTCATCCTCATCTGTAACAAGTCTATCAATGGTATCAACAATCTCTTCATTATCATCAATGATCTCATCAGATTCTATCACAACATCATCACTCTTAACTAAGTCTTCAATCTTAGCTTCAGTCTTTTTTGCTTTATTTCTAGGGCCACTTTTGGACATGGTTTTGTCTACCTTTGTGAACAATGGTCCCTTCCTGGTTTGGGGGATACTGAAGTATTTATATGTGGCCCTTATTCTATCAACTATGTATTCATAAAGCTGTGAATGGCTTACTGATCGTGTGATGTTACGCTTTGTAGCAAATGGATCTGAAATACACATAGATATATTAGATGGTCTTTATTTCTGTTTCTTTATTCTGTTTTTTAAAGACTGTTCTTTTGTCTGTTAAGAATTTATACGAAAACACCTATGCATGAAGGGTTTGACCAATCATACAATGTACAAGATTGACAGAGATATAAAAACAAGCATTACATGATTTTAAACCCACTTCCAAAAATGTACCTTCAATTGCAATCTTTTTACTGTTCCATCTCTTTTCTTCTCGTCTTAGTAAATTATTTCCCCGTAGGCTGATGATGTAGTTAGTCATTTCATAGGTAACACTGTAGAACTCTAGCAGACCCAGCCATAACTCTCCCACACTAAATGTATTACTGGTTGTCCAGTCCATTTGCTGGAAGTAGATACAGTTTTGCAACTGTCAACCATATTTAAAGCAGACCAGAGAGTGTTTACATGGCTATAATGTTGTGTAACTCCAATCAAGATCAAAATGGGGAAATACAAGTGCTTGCCAATTGACAGCAATGTGTAGTTTACACCCAAGGCATAGAGGATGAACATCATGTACTTATGAAATACAATACCATTATGATGTGTGACACTTTTGTTTGGGAAAATGACATGTATTACATAGTATTCAAACAGACAATCGATGCTTGTGTATAATGTGCAATGAGCAAACACAACTTGGCTGGTTAAGACATTCAACTTAAACAATTTACCACAACTATTAATATATAGAAGATTTATAAATACTTACGAGATCATCCTCAAATATATGAGTGTACACATTTCCTTTCATATTTTTAGGCACCATCTGGAGAAAATGTGACACCCAGTTAATGCAATTGTATATTTTCAATATATGTATATTGTAGAGTACTTAACTCTTCATAAAAGATAATAATGAATACAATACTTACAACAATTATATGAACAGATTTAACAAATAGCATATATGACATTTCCCCCAACAACCAGCAATCATAGATAGCAAATAGCATACCTCCAAGACATATCTTAAGAGCCCTTAAAGAATTATATTGGATTTTAGTAATCTGTTCCTCTCCTTATATTCATAATAACCTCTAATATTTAGTTAAATTGTTCTTACCGCTGCTAACTGATCCAGACTTGGTAGTATAGGGGGCTGACATTGTTGTAAATAATAAACTAACATCAGATTGAAACTATATGATGGAAGAGTTCCCTCGTGCTGCCTGTCAATCTCACACAACTGAAAACAAATAGCATCTTGCTTAAGTACCTCTGGCTATGATATTCTATGGCATGACATGTACTTAATAATCTTAACATAAACGAGCATTCTTTATTAAAATGATGTCCATTAACAGTGATTTTTATCATACGATTATAGTGGTAGCCACTGGTGGGTGTCCTCATTTGACATCTCAGTTACTATTGCATTTTCCTTGAATATTTTGCCTGATGATTAACCTGGGGGTCATTAACAGAACTTTCGCAAAGTTACGAATTCGTAATTCGATTTACGAATTCATAAAGTTACGAATTGGCCATTAACAGAACACTTTCGTAAGTCATTCATTAGTTTTATCGTTCGTAAATGAATTTCAAATTGTGACGTCATCTTATATCATTATTTAGCACAAATAAAATATGATGTCATTTGATATCATTGCGCGCTGTGATCAAACCTGTCTCCGCGATTTCAAAGATTTCCAGCTCAGGAACATATTTGCTTATCATGTAAGAATAGGTAGATATTTTAGCTTGAAACTCAGCATGCATATAGAGAACATTTTCTTTTTGCCAACCTGTATACCTTACATAAGAATTGGATGAGAAATGTGCCATTCGCAAAGTTATGAAAGGGTCTGAGGTGCTATTAAAGTTACGAACGAAAGCATACGTGACGTCATTTTTTCGTAACTTTGCGAATCGTTCGTAACTTTACGAAAGTTCTGATAATGTACATTTACCAAATTCGTAAAATTAACAATTGACTTGCGAATTCGTAACTTTACGAAAGTTCTGTTAATGACCCCCTGATTACTAAAAGTGCTTGCTCAATGCTTACCTGTCCCCAATATCTAAAAGCCACACCCAGCTTCTTGACTCTGGGGTCCATGTTACTATAGAGCTGCAGCAACTTTGTGGTGAGGTGGGCAGACACGTTGTTCACACAGATCTGGAAGGAAAGCTTGCTGGACCTCTCCCTGAATGTGATGCAAGGGACCTTGGCGGAGAAGTCACTTTGGATGGAGTCGTAACAATCTAACAACAAATAAACAAAGTCATTTTCAGCAATTAGTTACAATTTTATATGGTTTCTCCATTTGAAGCATTACCTTGTAACTAGGCTTTCTCTGTAAATATATAAATTAGGCTTTAAAGCTCAATGATAGCATCCTGGACAATCACTTTTGGCAAAGGACTTGGAAAAAGGGGTAGTCTATTGGGCAATGACCTGAATGCCAATGTGATAATTGTGGCAATGTAACAATACATGGAAAGTTTCTGGGTTCTTACATTGAAAAACTATTAAAAGTAAACACTAATATATTCAGATTTCATTAAATCAATTGAGCCTAAATTCGAAGAAGTTGTTTGAAATTCATCATATTTTAAGAAACTATTCAATCAACAAATCTTCAAATGAAAGAGACAAACAACTTCACAAACCATGGAATATTATAGGGTTTAAGAAAAAACTTCCCAATTATGCAAAAACTATCTCCAACTCAAGCCTACTTAATAATAAGAGATATAAAGTAAAACACTCACTCTCATTATCCCTGAGCATCTCGTGTATGGTAGTCAGTATGTATGCAGGGTTGTCAGACTGTTGTAATACTACATCTACATTTACATCACTATTCTTCAAGCCAAACCCACTCACTGTTGAACCATACACTTCCAACTCTAATGCTATGAATGTGAATTAAGATGGCATTCAATAAGAGGGGAGGAATAGGAGATTTTAATCCTGGACAACAATATGATATTGTGGCTTTAGCCTGATTGGTGGTTTAGTATTTCTGAGAAAATAATACACAAGAATCTATAATTGTAATATTTATAATTGCAAAATTATTTTTATTTCTCTAAGCTGTATATCAGTCGAGTACAAAATATATATTGGTCTGACTTGGACCTGTTGACAATTAAAGTAAGGAAAAGACAAGGAAAAAACAAGGAAAAGTCAGTTTTACTCTGACGTTATCAGACAATATGACAATATCTGACGATATCTTAACAATACCTGGTAGTTTCTGCCTGAGATAGACCTTTAGTGCATCCAAATATTCTAGTCTGGATTTGACACACTCTTCTCCAAGGCTCTGTGTATTGTAGACTTCATCTATGAGCTCATCCAGACAGGCTATGTGGGTGGCACATGGCTTAGGAAGGCTCTTCAACAATGCATCTCCTCTCTTTAACTAAGAAGCAAGGGTAAATATAAGCTTATCATCATGCAGTTTTAATATATGCCAAGCAGACAATATATAGATCGACCTATAATTCGCTAACAAAATTTGAATAATTACCTCAATAAGCCGTATGTGCCTATTGTCCTTGTAGTGTCTTTTTGATATCTCTACTGTGTCACAATGGTAGTCACAAATACGACAGAAAAAACGTGCCTTGGGAAACTTCAATGATTTCTGGAGGTAAATTTATCATAGTTATTATCTTGATAATTCCCAGTCTATGGAAATGGAAAAATTTAATTTGATTTAACATACACATATTTTTGTACATGAAATTTAAAAAGCCAATATTAGAATCCATGATTTAATAAGCTGAATTGTTCTTATATTTAAGTATTGAGATTTTCTGAAGGAATACTACAATATATTTAAACTTTGAAAGAAAAGAATTTATTCTTACCTTCTTCAAAGGGAATATAAACTGTTCTTGGAGATCCATTAGCTCTTCTTGTGTGGCTTGGTCCTCTTTGCCAATGCTCTTCCCTGCTTGCAAAATTTAATAACATAATAACTTAACATCAAACTCATTGGATTATAAAGTAACTCCGATAGATCCTAAGAGATAGGTTAAACGTTAGTTAGTTTCAGCAGTTTGACAATGCAATTATATGTTTTGAAATCAGGAAATGTCATTCAAGTATAGGTGAGTAGCTATGAGATATTTAGATAAATTATGGTTTCCAAAATCTGTGACTCATTCTAATTTGAGCGAGGTACTGTTCAATTCAGCAAAATTGTAATTTGGTGCTTGGTGGTATGATACATTAAAACATGGTTCAGCCCCACATCAAAAAAAACTAATGAGTTTTGAACTAGTACGTTTAAAATTAGGAAACTTACCAGGGGTGTCTTTCTGTGTCTGTCCTGTGGTCTTATTGGGTTCTGGACTTTGTTGACCCCGTCTTGGGTTCTGATCCTGTGTATCATCCCTGGTCTGTAATTGTAAACCTGTAGCATTGTTTTTATATGACTTAGGTCTATATATTTCTAGACTTGGTTTTTTGTTAGAAGCAGGGGTTACATTTCCAGTCTCCTTTTTAGAGTCTTTAGGTCCATTTCCTGATCGATTCTTATTGGTATGTTTCTTCTTTTGTTTTGGCTGCTCACTTTTAAAACTATTTTGGGGTGTTGTCATGTTTCTAGGGTCACCCATCTGTTTAAGATCATCACATGGCTGTGTGGCTTGTGTAACCAGGTCTATCTGTTCTACTATTGGCTGTGCTTCATCTAAAGTTTTAGATACTTTAGAAGATTGACTTTCCTTGATTTTCTTCTTACTTATTTTACTGTCCCGTTTAACATTTCCTTTTTTAGATGATGAATTATTGGATTCAATTTCAGATTTTTCTGGAGGTGATTCTTTGCTACCTTGTTGTTGTCTTGATTTCCCTTTCTTTTCATTTCTAATGGTTATTTTCAGCTCTCCTTCTTTCGAATTTGAGATCTGTCTCTCTTCTGCAGTTTTTTGAAGAAATGACATATTTAGCATACCCTTAATACCAGCTTCTATCTCAGCAGTACTCATACCACCATTAGCCATCTTTAATCTGGGCCACCTAGAATATGCAATGATGTCAGACATATAATAAACACTAAACAGTGGTCTGCAAAGTATTAAAAATTTGAGAAGATAATTTAATGAATAGGCTATCTATGCAAAATGAGATTTTTTGTTTGTTTTTTAGATCGTACAATTTGAGAATTTGAGAAATTGCATGAGGATCTATTTTTGGGCCCTCCATCAAACTTCGACGTAAGGGGTTACTTCATTATGTTTTTTTATCATGGGGCTATTTAACATTGACTTTAAGACCTAATGGATAATTTATGGTTGGATCTTAGCAGTCGACAAAAAACAATGAGATAATATTAAAAATAAGATACTTTAAAATTGAGGCTGATGGAATACAAGAAGACTCTATTCAATACAGCTGTGCAAGTTATAGTCACCAAGATGAGCTAATTTTTGAAAAATTCGGGAAATAAAAAAAAGAAACTATATTTTTTAATTATTGTATCCCATCTTCTCAAAATTTGGATTCTTGTTTCGCCAGAACATTCTCTTCATCTGTGTTATTTACTATATCTATCCAGTCCTCCGTGTTTTGACTCCGTGTTTTGGGAAATTTCAAAAATAAATCGAAATCTCCAATCAATGAAATCTTAATTTATTAATACATGATGGTAAAACACAATCACAATCAAATATGATGTATTTACATACATAGATTCCAGCAAGATTGTTTTGTAGTAGGATCAGTAGCTCAATAAATATTCCTCAAGATGAGACACCAAATCTTTTTCCAGGCTCCTGTCTGTCCAAATATCATTGTAATTTCGAACAGATACGTAGGACTATTGGAAATTGCTGCGTTTAATGTAATAAATATGTTGATGCAGAGATGGAGGGTTGCAATGGGAGTCCTTGTGCAAAATATAGGGGAGAATAATAAAAGAACTGGCGATATATCGAGGCTTTTGGTTGATATCTCTGAAGATTTGCATCTTCTCACATCTGGGGACCAAAACGCCGCTAAAACGAGCGACTCTGTACACAAAAGCAATGTCTCGAGTGAAAGGTATTTCTGTGAAGGTTTTAATGGAACAAGTTTGAAGAAAAAAGGTGTACTGTGAGACTCACAATCATTGATTCAAATTAATGGTCTTGCGGGGCGTTTTGGTTTCGATACGCCCCGATGAGTTAGTACCGCGTGAGTACAATAGGAATATATTTTCCCAGATATTATTGCATATATAATGATCTTTTGATTTCTTATTTTTTAGGTTTTACTGACGCTGTACATAACTCAGAAAATTGAATAATTGGCCATGGTCGAAATAACACCCCTAGTTCTGACATCTTTTAAAAATGGCCAAAATAAGCCTAATGGGTAGCACGATGAAGTAGTGTTGTCGCGATTAATCGATACATCGCGATATACATTGCCAAAGCTGATTCTGGCGATGCATTGATGTCTGAAACAAAACATTAATCTCATCACTGGGCACATTACCCTGAATAGCCATCAGTTCAAAATAAACCCAGACTGCAACACCAACCTGTGTGATCACTGTATGGTACCGGAATCAGTTGAACACTTTATTTTTCAGTGCAAGCGCTACAGTGACATCAGAGAGCAATTTCTTCACAAAGTGGACTGTATTTTATTAGGATCTGACAGTGGGGAACAGATACCTGCTGGATATGATCTTAGAACTCTAGCTGGAGAGAGAAAGGGATTAGGCACAGTTACAAATGCCAGGATCCTAAGAGAATTTCAGAAATACATAAGAGACTCTAAGAGATTCTAGGAGAATCGACAGTGTATATAGTGTAAATAAACCAGTTGCTAAAAACAAAAAACAAAGTCTGAAATATAAACATTAAAATGCCAGCCACAATAAGCCACATTAAAGTAACAAGTGAAAAAGTAACGATGTGCCAGTAATTAGTGTCAAAAAAGTACATAGAGACTAATCAAGCAGCATAAAAGTGCTTACTGGATAGAAAGAAAGAAAAATTTAATTTGCTAAATATCACCCTTTCTTATCTTATTTTGACGCAAATCGCTTACCTTTCTCACGTCTTAAATGTATTTCATTTTCCAATGTTTTCTGATATTCTTTCGCTTTAAAACTGTATTTAAGCTAGTCGAAATGAACCACTAAAAGAATTTGCTTTACTTTCATTTCATCTTAACTAGAAGTTCCCGGATGTACCAGCATACTCTTATTAATTTGTTCTGTTCAGTATTTTAGTGCAATAGCGTTCGATATTTCAGTGCACTTTTCTCAGGCTTTTTCTAGATGTACATAGCGATGTGCATCGATGTTTACTACTGAAAATTGCTGATGCATCGATGTACGATTATGGCACATCGCGACAACACTACGATGAAGTACCACCTACGTTGAAGGTCCCTCTAATTCCTGATTTGCTATTAGGATTTATGATTGTTCATCTCTGGTGAGAATTTTAAAAAATCTGATTTTAGTTTGCCCAATCAACTGCAATTCAATACATGACAAAATGAATATTAGTAGCCTACTTTCAACTTTGGAAGATTGAAATAAAAATTGAAAATAATTCTGTTCACTGATTGAAACGATCAATCTGTTACTGCGTTAAGGGTTATAGATGAAATATACAATGCATAACTTACCTCAATTAACAGGTATGTTGAAAACATGTATGTTTTCTTAATACCAACAATTCAAGGGGCACCTTTTTAATGATGAAACTGAAAGTAATTTTTTCAAAATAAAGTTATCGCCATTTTCTTCGTGCATTGTGGGTAATAACCACGTGTTTCGTCCAGAACGCCAGTGAATCCCGGGGAATACACTTCTACTATAGTCTCACTGAGCTGGGGCCGACTTTCTGATATAAATAAAATGAATAATAAATAAATAAATGAGTGGGATGTTGAAATGTGATACTATTGATATTTGCTATGCTTTTTAGCCGAACCTTTGGACCTTTTTGGTCAACAAAATGATTCCATCTATTCACGTATATTTGAAAAAATAAGCTTTATAAGCCTGGTAGGGGACGGCGGGGTAAGAAGGGAGTGACGTGGGGCAAGACGGACCACCAAGTTTATTCTATTGTTTTAAAGTTCTGATAGATCGACCAGTCTTGCCTCACGGGGCCCGTCTTGCCCCATGACCACACAAAATCATTTTTTCAAAAGTGAGGGGCATAGGGGCTCCTCAAGGGGTATGTGATAAGGTCAGTGACCTGGCCCCTAATTGTGACTAAATGTGACTTTGGGGTATTTAAAAATGAACAAATGTGACAAATATATCCTTACATGTGACGATTTTGAACATTCAATTGACTGACAAGTGTTTTGAGAGCGACAAAAATAGAAACTTTGTTCTGAATGTAAATATATGCAAAGTATTTTTAAATGTGACTTATTCTAACCAGTGATCAAACAATGGAGCACTACAAACCATTTGTTGCATTAATTCTTTGACTGACTAAAACGGAATGAAACTGACAAAATATGACAAGTAAATTTTAAATGTGACATGACAATTTAAAAAATTTAAAACTGCCCCTCTTGGGGAGCCCTATATAGCAGGCCCGTAGCCAGAGGGGGAGCTGGGGGAGCAGAAGCTCCCCCCCCCTGGCCAGAAATTCAGTTTTTGCAGTTCATGCAGTTTTTCACCATTCTGAGAATTTTTCGCATAATTTTTAGCCAAAATTGTGAAAAAGCTCCCCCCCCCCTGGAAAAAAGCTCCCCTCCTGGTAAAAGCTGGCTACGGGAAAGCTGAGGTCCAGGAATACGTTAAAATGTTTAAAAAGTCCGCTAGTGTACTGAGTTCTTAATGCGTAGTATACATGTATATTAATTTTACTAGATTACTTACATGTATAAGAATAAGACTGATTTTTATAAGCTAAATGGATAAGAATAGGACTGATTTTTTTATTAATGACAGTATACCCGGGCCTCAGCGGGCAAGTATAGTATACAGGTGTAAGCAATTAGAAAATTTATGTTTAATTTCAGTTGAAATAGATTTAAATTATAGAGGTTGCCATCTGGTTCTGCAGTTCATGCAAAGGTCATGAACTTTTAATTATGTCTAGATCATCTAATCACTTCAGCTACTGCAGCCAAGCACTAAACATGTACTATTTTTAGCTAATGCATTGTTTTAGTTTAGTTAGGTACAATAAACTATTTGACCAACTACTTGTAGTTTTTTGCGTCTATTTTTCGTATTTGGCATTATTGGGAATTTAATTCAAAATCAATATCATACTAGTAGTATCTCAGAGAACCAATGTTCCTTGTTTCAATAAAAATGGGTTCAGCGGACAGAAACCCTAGCAAAATATCTTTACAAGCTGTTAAAATGACTGCTCTTAGCTGGATGTCCATCTCTGCCCGGCTGTCCCGTCCTATGTCTCTGACTGATTTGTCCACGATGGACAACCGTCATTGGTCAGGTTGAATAGCCAAGTCATGTTAGACTACCAAATACTTGAGAATAGTACGTCTATGATTTGGCCTTTTCCTCATTCCAAGATAATCAGATGCAGATGCAGATGCGAGTAGGTAGTTACCAGTTTCGCCACTAGGTGACTCGTTCGGGTCAGATAGCATGGCGGGTGTCAGAGAAAGTTCCCCTTAACTTAAATTACATCTGTTTTAGTAGTTCAATTTTCCCAGTATCTAATAGTTATGCAAATTAAAATATAAAAGTAAAAGAAAATGTTATCTGTCCAATACAAGAAACGATATTTCACTTTTTGTGGTTTTTTAACATGGGGTCTATATGCGGAATCTCCCCGAACTGGAAGTCACATAGTCATTTACAAAGAAAATTGAATTTTCAAAGTTGATTAAAAGCAATTTTCGAAACCATATTTCTAGATGTACTTTGACTGAATTTTGAAAGTATAATGACGTAGATCAAGATTATTTCTACTCGCATCTAAGGGTGGGGGCGGGCATAATTTCAATCTCAAATTGAACATGCACTATTGTTAGGCCTACTTGAAGATGTAATAAGGCTCACAGATCTTTTTGTTATCAATTTCTAAATTCATTCTCAAAGAAAAAATATTGTCATTATGCTCATAGGCGTAGGACCTAGTGCAAGAGTACTAAAGTTTGTCATTTGTAAGAACTGGCCTTACATAAGCCTAATTGCATAATAAATTCATGGTCCATGTTCAAGAAAAGGGCTTTGTCCTTGAGCAAGAATCTGGAAGTACATGTATGTACAGTAACCCCCCTATCACACCAAACTAGTTCTTACCCGTTCTTGCCAGTCCTACGAAAATGTCGTAAAACGGGCTCAATCTGGCTGCGATCGGGATATATGTCTAAAATAATTAGCTACTTCGTTCATAAACAGTCTTCAATACGTCCATCTCTCATTCTCAGTTCGTTCAGGTCGCACTACGTCGGTGTGCAACGTAGTAGAAACCGTCCCTTAGTCTAGAAGGTCATCATGACCTGATTACAGAACGGTATGGTCGCCATCGAATTTTGAATCGATTCAAAATTCTAAATCACACACACACCGTCCGGGAAAGTCCATGAACTTGGTCGTAAACAGACCGTAGAACGTTGTATCTACGTTCATTCAGTTCGCACACAGTTTAAAACCGATTCGGCAACATTTTGACGATCACCAGAAAATTTTGAGCATGCTCTAAGTGCTGGAGAAACCTACTCGTCCTAGTAGTTTCATGAAGTTTGTAAACAGATCCCAAACGGTTCTTAGTGGGTTCTTAGTACGTCAAATCCGTTCGTGCACAGTTTAAGCCCGTTTTCGAGAACGTAATGAGAACTAGTTTGGTGTGATAGTAGGGTTAGTCGTTGATGGCTCGATTGACAATAAAAAGATATTGTAGTTTAGAAATTATAAGAGGTCACAATGATGGCAAAATGGTGAAGGACCGCTATGAAACGAAATATCAAATGCGAACTACCAAAACGTGAGCATACACACAGCCAGATATTTGTTGGCAATTTTGGTAAGTTATTAATTTCCGAAGACATTTCAATCATCGGAAAAATTGGGGAATTTTGATTAAGGTCGCACGCAATCAAAGATAAACCGTTGCTCATATGGAACATTGCTACGTGCTTAAAAGAAATTCATCATTTTTGAAGATAGAATTCTCGGGGCTCATATGGCGATTTTGGCATTTGGAGCATATTTTGTAAAATGGCTATAAAATCGGGACCATTGGAAATACTAGTGGAGAAATGGAGCTAAGTAGAAATGAAGAACATTGAACAATGTTTAGTCGGGCAAAATATGATTAAACCCACTCTGGATGACTGAGTTATTAGCATTTGTTTTGGTTACCTTTTTTGACTCACCTTGTAATAGATTTGGACCATTGGGGAAACGTTGTTTCACGGTAACATCATATCCATGGAATCGCATATACCTATACTTTTATCATAGACTAAGGGACATCAATGAACATATACATTATTATATACTTAAATATATTTATTTCATCTTCATAAGATATAAACGGTACTTAACTACACGTATAAGATAATCTAACATATACCATGTATATGTAACATTTGTAAATTGTCTTTCTAGGTATATTTTATCATATATAAGGTGCACAGTGCTCTGAAAGGGATATGACTATTTTTGATTGAAATGGTCATTTCTTACTGACTGCATTTGACTTTTTAATTATTAAGAATTGTGTACTTTTCCTTTCACATCGATATGAACAATTGTAAGATAGGCGATAATAGTGTCTACATGGGTGGAAATAGGATCCACCCAGGCCGGTGTAAAAGGGTAGGAGGTCCTATCAAATTATGGTCCTACTTTCCATTGATTTATATGGTGACCTAAATACAACTCTTTCCCTCATTATCTTATACACAATCAGGGCCAGTAAGGGCCTTTAAGAAAGGGGACCATAATTCCCAGGGGACCATAATTTATTTTACACCAGAAGTAATTGTGTCGACCTGGGTATTAAAGTGTTGATAATCATCTAACAATAAATTCACGTCCCTTTCAAAGCGTTATAGCGATATATGTTATTATGTTATAGTCATGAATTGCTCCTTTATCATTTTCATGAATTTTTAACAAATGGTAGACACTTTGAAAATTAATTTCTTACGACTACAACAGGCCCATAGCAAGCTTTTGCCTAAGGGGTTCACTTTTTAAAACATTCCAAGGGGTATATTTGATCATTTCGACCCCATACTTTTGAAAGAAGGGTTGGCCGGGGGGGGGGTGTACAGTCGCACCCCTAGAACCAACCTGGCTACGGGCCTGACCACTTGCATATTGATAATTTGAATAAGTGAAAATTTAAAAAGCAATTTGAACATTCAGCATTTTCAGCTAAAAACTGGAAAGTAACATTTACATAAACAGAAGGTCGTGTATCAAAAATTAAACGAATATAACATACTTGATGCTGTGAAATAAAATAACCAAAGCAAAGTACTATACTATAATACTATAAACATAATGATAATTATATATTAATAATATATTAAACATATATCAGCAGTATAAGCATCTATATCAATATTCTGCACCAGTACTGACTTTGTAGTACTACTTCATGTACATACTACTCACAAATCCATAATTCGTAAATGTAATCTAAAATCAAAATCGGTCGATATGCGATTTAAATCGGGTCAATAATTGACGTTAATCAACGCAATTTCATGTGGTGTATTTAATTGCATAGATAATTTTGTCAAACGATTGGACATGGCCCGTTTCCCCAAACGGATGTTTCACGAGGCTGGGACCGGTTCGGTGGCTGTCTGTTGTCTATATTTCTTGTACATTTCCCGCTATTCATTTAGCTTAGCTACTTCATCTCTTGAAGAAAGATTTTTTCAGCTGCACTGACTTTGTGGCTGACTTGATGTCTTCGATCCCATACCTGATCATATAATTGTAGACGTTTACAAGACTCTGGTCTCCGTTCCTGCTGCCGTCTTTCCTGGCATAGACTGCGAACAAATAGTGACCGTGCTTAGATAGGTTAATAAAGAACTTGACAGACTTCTTGTCTTCCCGGACAACATTAACGTGGTCCCTGTGGTCTTCATCGGGCTCCCGGATAAGATGGTATGTGAGCTGAACGGGGCTTTGTACTCCGAGAACGATACATACATCACCAGCGTCTTTGAGATGGATCTTTGGATCCCTATGACTTAACGCTTTCAATCCAAATTTTTCGAACTGTGGAGAAGGTCCCCATTTGTCTTTTGTCATTTTTTCTGCATGATCCACTTTCAGCACAGGAAGCTCAACAGGTTCTTTTACGTGAGCACAGTTGATGAGGTACTTGCAGGCGTGTGCCAGTGTATGCGAATCGGCGGCATCCTCCCTGCGGGCGTATATATCCAGCCCATACTGCCCGGGCTGAGGCATGCGTGCCCTCACGGTCATGATATTTCCAACGACACTGTGACTCACAAAATTGTCCAAAATATGGTCATCAACTCCATTAGCTCGTAATTTTGTGAGGAAATGAAGTTTCCTCGGGAGTTCAAATTGCAGCTCAAACCCGTTATCTTGATTAAGCACACCAGTTCTGTTGGTGATTGGTCGGATATTGAAATGTCGAAGGCCCTTCCAGGGTCCCCACTCCCCTGAAGCGCAGTTAGGGAGAGGGTGCATCTTGCCCATCAGCTCCGTGCACACAACCTTGAACTTACAAGCGCACTTCAATCTGAAAGGCATCATCTGGGCTGATGGGTCATCACCTATCTTATTCGTCTCATCAATCCTGTTTGCAAAAATCTCCAAGAAGTAATCAGACATTGTGGGGACATGAACACTGAATAAAGCTGTATCATCGACAATGGAGTGAAACACGAAACGCTCTAGTTTAGCGCCCTTGTACTCTGTCTCTTGTCTGAACTCCCTGTCGGCGAACCGGAGCTGGTAATGGAACACAATGTCCTCAAGATATATGCGGGGGACCTTTATTTTGATCTCTACTCCTCCTTTGCTGTCAGTGTATAACACAGCATGCTTGTTGCCTTCGAACTTCATTCCGTAGTGGAAGAATATACTCCTGAGAAAAAGAAATTAATTCAATGTAAAACACCACAGAATTGTTTTGCTTTAGTGATCAACTAAGCTTGAGAACTAGGGCTAAAAGTCGAAGGTCTAATTGCATTTTACGATAAGTTGAGTTGAGAGACTTATAAAATTTGAAAAACTAAATTTTATGAAATATGTACTGAGATGGTACCTGACAAAAGGTAAATCTATAAACTGCTCAAGGGTAATTGGGTTGTGAAGAAGCTGCCAATCTCTGTCAACTGGCCAGAACTCTTGGATGAATTCATCCGCGTCAGTGAGAAAGTAGTGCTCATCATATTGATAGCGGATCTTGTCCTGGGTTTTCGTCTTCTTCTCTTGTTTTGTCTTCTTCATGTCCTTGTTAAGAACTAAATGCCTGGAAGGAATACGTCAAGAAAATACATTTCTTCATTTGCCGCAGGTATGTTTTAAATAAGAAAACGATTCCTCTACTCAATTCGTGACTGATATATCAGGACAAGACATGTACAGTAGAACTGGGTTTGTTTCTTACATTTATCTAGGAAGGACATATTGAGAATGTTTTACTACAAATTGTACAATTACCTAGCACCCCAGTTACACTGGACCAGTCTCCAATCTCCAGCGATGAGGACAGCGTTCCATGTGTTCTGAAAGGTATCGGAGCGCATGCGCATCCCAGGCTCGTATCCAACACTCTTCGAGTGTCCCTTTATCTCCACACAAGGAATACCAGAGAAGCTAAAAATATAAATTACAGATAGATATTAAATTTGATAGGTAGACATGGCACAAGCAGTGATTCATTACTAGGAATGTTTAGTTTCCATAGATTGAAATATTAATAAATAATACATAATATTTATCATTGGTGGATCTCTTGCCGGGATCTCGGGCAGTCAGAGTTTTTGGTCTACTCTTTAAAAAAGGTCCAACATTACACGTTGATTACCCTGAAGATAGTTTTGGACCCACCCCTTGTCCATTCTGATAAGCCGAGTCCCAGCATATTGATAGACTTTACAATAGATCCAGTATCAATGTAAATATGATTTATTGATCCATCCGTTTTAAACTTTTCCGACTTCATTTTTTAATTGTAATTTATGTTCCTACAAAAAAATTTTCATTATTTTTTGGTTAAAAAAAATCTGAAAGCATTAGTACCTGCAAAGTCTCATAAAGAGTACATGGTAGGTCTCTGTACCAAGTTTGATGCCTCTGAGCAGTCCCACAGGGGTATCATCATCCTCTTCGTCGTCTTCAAAGTCAATGACGTTCAGGTCTTTCACCGTCAGCCATCGGAATATAGACCTAGAGGCAGAACACACATTCAAATTTATTCAAACTCGAAGTGAGTAAATGCTGAAGACAAGAAAGTAATTTATGAAGACAACCTTTGGTAGCCATTGAAAACATAAATTGTGAACGAATTTTGAATTATTTGAAACATACACAGAATTAAATATTATCAGATTCATTCCACGTTCATTCGTGAAACTTTGAAGTGTGAAAGTAGGTCAAGTCAAATTTCACTATATGCAACAGCTTTTCAAGTAAACTGTTACATTCAAAATAAATGGAAGAGTTGTCATTAGGTCGCAATAGAAGGATACCAGCATCATTGGACAGGGCAAAATAAATGTTGGGCCACAGATGTACGGCAACGTGGCATACCTTACTTTCTCCAAGTCGGTGATACAATAACTGGTTAACTGGCTCACTAAATCTGTCCACGATGCCTGTTCTGCCTCAGCAATCTAAAAAACATAACACCGTTTGGATATTACATAGCTACATATAGAATACTCGCTAGACAATTTGTAATTGCTGGCTGATAGACTAGAAACTAAGAGTAAATCGTTCTGCTATATTCAATCCAATCATATATAATTACTTTAAAATGGGTTTATGATTGATGATAATATTCTTTAATAAAATCTAGGTTACCAGGACGTGCTAATATACACATCAATGGAAATTACATCAGACAATATGCTAATACTATTCGAAAATAAGTGTATACGTACACTGAACACATGCTCATCCAGTTCTTTGAATATGGCTGGATCTGTATAAATGTCGCTCTTCCTACAAGATGCCGGTCGAGGAGGCGGGAGTTCCCCAGGGACTGGAGAGATCATGTTTACTAGGGCATCCTCTACATTCAGTTCACTTACGCCCTCATCCTCCTCATTTGCGTTCTCGTTTGATTCTTGACCATTCTGTTCTTCGACGGCTTGTTGCTTCATCTGCGGAGAAAGAAATATTTGCATAGTTATATACTAGTATTCTAAATAGCTAACCCCCATAACATAACACTAGGGATCGGATTTTCCTCATTGAACATTTTTGGGTTTAAAGAATATTACCTTGATTCGAATAGCTTCTCTATGTCCCTATTGGTTTTCGTTTTACCATCGCATCGCATGGTCTCGCGTTATTACACAGTTTTTAAGCAAATATACTTGTTTTAACACACACGTATTATGATATTTGCATTGCATGTTAATATGTTATTACCAAATTTAAATAAAAACGCATTTCTACGCAATACCATTGATCAGCTAGTTGTTCAAATGTTTTTATTGGGTTTAGAAGGTATATACAAGACACAAGTAATAGGCAATGATGTTTGGTTACAATCTCGCAATGCACTCGAGAGCATCCAGACTCATTACACGGGGGGATAGACAATTATGAAATTATCACTTGCAAGCATGATTTTCATATTTTGAAAATCAACTTTTGGCATAAAGAAACATAACTTGAAGAAAATACTGTGTCTAGATCGGCAAGGAAATAAGTACACGTAAAGTATCAATACAGTATTGAAAATATATCAGAAATTCCTTAAATACAAATGTACCAGGTAAGTGTTCACCTCAGTTTAAAGGTTATGGCTGTAGTTCAAGGTAGAAATGCATCACTTGTATCTTAAGTACATGTATATCATCAACGCAAAGGCCATGTAAGTTTGGAAAATTTACAAATATGCTGGCATGTGGATTACTTTGAAAAGATGTGAACTATACATTGAAACATTATGCGGCCGTATGTAGATCAAAATTTGTTCGTACAGGATATCACGTCGCTCGTTTATTTTATCTAATTTTGATAGAAACATTGTCAGTTGAACTTCACGAGTATTTTGAATATGAACGTATATAGACTCACTCGCTTTATGGTCTTTTAACTGTTTAGATTCCACGTTGCCCAAAGATATATATGTGAATGAAATTAACAGTAAATAATGTTTTGAATAAATTTAATAACACGCAGAATATCATCATTGTATGCTAACACTGCCTCTAGTGAAATATTTAACTTTCATTCCGACATTCGAAATCCATTACATAGAAATAATGTACACTAAAGGTAAAAACAACCTCGTAATTTTTATGTTTGAATATTTTGAACCCCGTTTTAACGATGTTATCTGCCATAAAAAACAATGCACCGGCCTAATATAAATGAACATTCCGCTAAAGGTTAATAAACACCAAGAGTTGCATAAAAGAAAAACATCTTTAGAACACGTCCCAAGATGCATTTAAAAGCGCATAATAACATTCCATACGATTTGGGTCTTAAAACTGTTAAGACCTCAGTCATTTATGATTATTAGTTTTAATGGTTGAAATGTTTTTTATTTTTATTGAAGTATTTTGATAAAAGCTTTAGCCAATAATATACCTCATGTGAATCATTTGAGCGAGTTTGCAATGCATTCATATGTGACACTTCTTGTCGATTTTAAACTCTTTCTACTTGGCCCATTCGATTGCTCAAAGGTTTTGCTAGTATTTGAAAACCTATTTTAATTTGAATCAGATCCCCGCTGAGGTCAGTTTATACACAACATACATTTATATTTTTAGTACATTATTAAAAATAGTATTACGACTTATATAGTTCTAAAGTACGAACCAGTTCTTGCTCCAATTCTCTTTGAAGCTCGATTTTCTTCTGTTGTATGAGTTCTAACATTTGTGCGCTGTGTTTCTTCACTAAGTCACTTGTCTGCTCCTGCTCTTGAGCTATTAGTTTCAGTGTCATGTTCTGTTTCTTTTTCTGTCGCTTTATTGTCATGTTCTTTTGCAACTCGTCCTTCTCACGTTCATAGTGAGATGAGAGAGTCTGGAAGAAATGAAAACAAATTTAAATCAGTACCAAGTGAATGATATTCAAGGTCAACACCTATGTGACCACAAAGACAAGGGGTGTATCATTATTCATTATTCGAAAATACTTTTTGTTGTTTAAAATTGAATTTAACATTTTGGCGTTAAAACATTAGGTCATTCAACGATTCTATTTCCGAATTTGAGCATTTCTATGGATTTTTAAATCTACTTTTGGAAAAGATTCAAGTAAGTTGTAATCTTCATCCTAGGTTGTAATTAACTACATCGGCTCAATGTGTTTTTAAAATGCATGAAAGTATATGTACATCAAACGCCTATTATCCGAGCTTAACATTGTACACAATGGTATTGGTATAACTGTAATCATTGCTTGAAGTCCGACGTTGTTTGAGTGTTGGCTTAATGCTTGGTCCAGGATTAAAGCTCTATTATCAACAAAACTAATTCAAACATGGAAATCTGAAGAATTTGAACTGAAGTTGTGTGCAAGTTGACCAATGCAAGTAAATGAATCATGTTATGTTATACTTTTCTTAGTCAATGTATGTCTTATTTCAATATGAACAGGTATGGCAAGTTTAAAACAAAATCCTTTATTTGGAAATAATGTTCTCATAAGACTTATTCAAACATTGTTGAGTAAAAAGTGTCAACATATCACTGATCACTCAAAAAGGTATGATTTTTAACATAGGGATGAAACCATATGTTTATATTGACGTTCTTGCAGTACATCGGGTGCAAGGTAAAGTGGTTAAAACTGACATATTACACGAGGAGTAAAGATCAGGTTGTCATACAGGTCACAAAAAACGTTCCCCTATTTTTATCATAAAAATCTTTCCTGAATGGACATTCACAAGCTTTTCAAATTCTATTCAGTAGATGTCGAGATGTTTTTTCTGATTTAATAATACTGCTCTTGTATGTACCATGGAACGCTGTCTCTAAGAAAATTTGGCTAAGTGAGCACGAAATGATATCACTCAACCATCCGTACATTGATTTGCCCAAGACTACTGTTAATAAAACACACAACCAACTAAAACCTTTGATCCATTTTCACTGTGTTGTGAAATAATTCATTGTTGTATAATTATAGTAATCAACACTTACCTTTCTATCTACGACTTTCTTTTTCTTTCCTTTCATTTCGCTATCAAACCTCGCAGTGAGTTCTTCAAGTCTTTTTTCCCATTCTCCTTCTATTTCAGTGGTGAGCTCCTTTTGCATCTGCTCCCTCTCTGCCTGGAATGTCTTGTACAATCTATCCTCCTCTTCTCTCTGTAGTCTCTCCAACTCCTCTTGGGCTTTGAAGATCTCTTGTTGTTTCTGTACCTGAATTGTAATGCAGAAAGGATAATTCTACAGAACCTCATCCCATATCTTTGAGGAACAGGTATCAGCAAGGAATTGGTGATACAAGGGTGAGATTGGAAGACCCAACACTGTTGGATGTTGGTCTTGGCCCATGCCATCATTGCGTATCGTTACCTTGAATATTTTTATTTGTGTTTAATATATATTTATTGTAAAATCAATTAATTACAATTATCAAGGACAATCAGTTAGTTCTAGCAGAGACATAAAATGTTTTATATGTTTCTGGTTCTAGGTTTATACCATTTAAAGGATCCCGTTTATCTCCCTTCCTACTTATGAATTTGATATCTGGTAGTTGACATGGAAAATGTTGACCATAATGGGGATGAGTTCCATTATCTAGATAAATAGGGATATATATATTTCACGCCCGGTGATCGTGAATATGGGACGGAGGGGGGGAGCAGGCAATTTCTGCTAGGAAATTCAACAAATCTGGAAGATTTATTTTTTCAAGAAAAAGTTTACTATTGAATTGCTAAATGGATAGGCGCACGGTATGGTAGAATATGTTAGGTTTTCTGGGATTTTTTCTGAAACGATACGCATCTAAGGTATGAGATCTATTAAAAAAGGCGCAAGGCCATCAACAGGCACAAATCAACGTTTTTGCTTTAAATCAAGCAACAATGGTCTGGACGACCTGTAATAAATACTTGTAAGTGATGTTATCATAACTAAATTAATGTCATTGATGAATTTATAAAATAAGTTTCCATATGTGAAATAAAAAATAATCGAAAATGATGAGTTTGGGACGGAGGGGGGGGGAGGGGACGGAGGGGGGGGAGCAATATGTATATAAGACATGATTAGAGATGTTTCGCGACTTTAAGTCCTTTTACTCCAAATGTCCCCATTTTTCAGTCTCCAGGGGTATATCATCCAGTTTCTTACTAAGTTAATGAGTTCATTTTTCAAATACAAGAATTCGTGTGAAGTTGTTTCACTTTATAGAATTATTACTCCCCCCCCCCCTCCGTCCCCTCCCCCCCTCCGTCCCATTTTAATTATTTTCGATTATTTTTTATTTTACGTATGGAAACTTATTTTATAAATTCAGCAATGGCATTAATTTAGTTATGATAACATCACTTACAAGTATTTATTACAGGTCGTGTAGTCCATTGTTGCTTGATTTATAGCAAAAACTTTGACTTTTGCACGTTGGTTGCGTTGCGCCTTTTTTAATAGATCTTATATGTTAAAAGAGTATCGGTTGAAAAATAATCCTAGAATACCTAACATATTTTATCATACCGTGCGCTTATTCAATTTGCAATTCAATCGTAAACTCTGTCTTGAAAAAATAATTTTACCAGATTTGTTGAATTTTCTAGCGGAAATTGCCTGCTCCCCCCCCTCCGTCCCATTTTCACGATCACCGGGCGTGTATTTATAAGTATGATGTGTAAAAGGGTAGGAGGTCCTATTAATTTATGGTCCTACTCTCCATTGATTTATATGGTGACCTCTTTGTGCTATTTCCCTTATTATCTTATACACAATCAGGGCCAGCAAGGGCCTTTAAAAGGGAGGACCATAATCCCTGGGGGACCATAATTTCTTTCACACCGGGAATATGATTATGTAGGAGCTGCACATCTGATTTGCCATGTAATGTCAGTCATATCTGTCTCGGTCTTTGGTTGCAACCACGTGACAACGCTGTGATTTGTGAATAAAAATTAATTATATTGAACTTGACTATATATTTCTGTTACTTTCTCTCTTTTTGAATTAAATGCACGTTGACATGTTCTTGTTATTACACGATTCCAGTCACTGCCACCGGGACTTTCTCCACTCCCATAATTCATTACCATAAAAGCTGACGATGTGAAAAAACATGGGAGTAATATCATACAGCATTGCATCAACCCATTGAGCAATGATTAACTGTAATTATGTTTTAAAAAGAAAACAGATTCATTATATGCATCTTAGGTTTTCCAGACCACTAGAGAGCGGATTAAACGGGGACTGTCTTGTTTCGTCCCATGGGGAAACGGGGATAAACGTCATTATATGTATAAACTAATATATGTAAGTCAAAACGAGAGTTAACACTACACGTTGAGTGATGAATCCTAAATTACCAAAAATAGAATGTTTTTACACGTTTTAGTCTAATGTTAATGTCCAACGTATCAAGATGAACTTTACTGAGAAGCCATTAGAAAGGTATAGATGTTTGTTTTCTTCCAAAAAGGTAAAGTTCAATTTTTTATGAACCATGCAGATCCTTTGATACTGTATACAAAAGGCGTCACGAGTTTCAACGATTTGTCATTCATGATTTGTACAGGTATTATTTGAAAGGTCACTTGAAAAAAGAAAAGGAAATATGTTGCAATAACTTTTAATGTATTAGTCTATGCAGTTCTCATGGGTACCACTACCTTCTTGTAATGACATATGGTTCTGTAATTTTATGAAGCGATGCTATACGTGTCAACATTGAGTAAAAGACGATGTAAACACTGAGTTGATACTCAACTGAAATGTGCTCGCACTGAGTTGATACTCAAGTGATATTCTGCAATGTGCTTATACTGAGCTGATTCAAGTTTCATTGTACGATATGCGAGGATTGTGTTAATATTATAGTGTAATTACGTAGTTACACTTAGTTGATATTCAAGTGTAATTGTGCAATGTGCTTAGCTAAATTATTATTAAGCGTTTGTTTGCAATTATCACAAAATTGAATAAATAAACAAAGAGGGGCTGAATGATGCCTATGTTATGTCCTCTTATTAAGTTTGAAATTCAAGTTCGATTCTGTACCAACACTGAGCTAGGACTCAAATTTTGCAAACTTTGCAATGTGCTAAATCTGGGTTGATACGAAGTGATATTGGGCAATATGGTCGAACTCAATTGATACTCAAGATTGTGAAATGATCTTACACCGAATTGATACTTCTAATGACACATATATCAAAATTATGGCAACTAATATCATTCTGATACTCATAGCATCTTTCTGTTTCACCAGGGCTGAGAAGAAATAAAATGTCATGGTTTATAATAATATTACTATGGCAATAAATATACATTTTACATCGGAGGAAATTTACAAATATATCATGCAGTTTAGGATATTCATTCCATGTGTTACACACATGCATCAGCTGGCGTCTCAGAATCAATGCTAGTCTTTATGTACACTCTGTTCGAGAGCGGATTAATTGTTTTTACAGAAACTAATGACATTAATGTGTTTAATATGATGTTTTATATTCCATGTCATAGTCCATATCCTATAAGGACAAAGAACAATATCCGCGAGGAACAACAGTATAGTATCTTATCAACGTGTTCAGCCTACCCATTAGTTTCAGGATGATATGGGACTTTATCATCTCAACCAGCGTTCGTGTTTTAATTAATCAGCTAGAATCAAAGTAAGAAGCAAATATATTGTGGTCCCTTGGTGGATACAGGTAGTGTGGATATTCAATAACATAGATTGGACAGTTTCTACATATTCATTATTAATTTATTACCTAGGGGAAATGATGAAGGTCGTAATTTGTGCAATCATTATTATAACTAGACTAAGTTATCTTGAAACTTCAATATTGATTTACCCTTTCCAATATAGGTTGATTGTGCTTCTTTAAAAGAATTACACCTACAGCTCTTATAATAAGGCTCTGACTATCAGTTAGAGCCTTATATTAGCTTCTTTCTATATATTCTTAGGTGAAGGCAGAAAGATGTGATGTGTATCAGAATGGTCACTACCTGCGACAGGGTCATATTAATTCAACCCAATATTGTTCAGGTGAAGTGTAACAAATCAATATGTACAGGAAACATACGTATTCCAATTTATGACATTCACGGATGGATCAAGATGTTTTTTTATCAATCCCTAAAAGGAATTTGAAAGGTACAGGCCACATAAATGAACTTATCATTGTCGTTGTGTTTGATCTTAACTCAACCTATGCGATGTTTTGTTGACATTTAAAATTCTAACCCAAATATAGATTTAATTGATGTCCACGCTTTCCAGTTATATTCTGTTAATCAAGATGTGGTTTAAGTACAACATTCTAAAGCTCTCCATCCTGCGTTGAAATGCAGTTAGATGTGGGCAAAACATTTATAATCATTTTAACCCAAGGCCCCAGCTTAAATAGTTTGTTTTCGCTTGTTTGTTTTCATGAACTTTACATGTTATGTTTACAAAATCGTGCTATATATATGAGAACAGTAACCCGATTATGCATTGTGTATGGGTTTATTTATTTATGGATTAGCTGCTCTGCAAGGTCTTACAAAATGCATATACCACATTCATGTAATTCTTAAAGCTATTGTGCATACATGTACAAAACGTACAACTTACAGTAAGAACACCCCCATTATTTTGTAATGAGAATTCAACGTTCTGGACATATTTCTCACTCGACCTAGCGTGACCTACATTTTTATTTTTGATCTCTCAGCTACTAACGTTCACCACCAAGTATTATACATATAAAGATCCACATGAAATCAACTCCATGGATACATTCCAAAAATAAGATTACTTTGGGGATTGTAAGATTCAGATTAAAAAGATTTCGAGGTCATGATATGAAACAAGATACTATATTAAAATTCATACATATAATACAGGTCCAATAACAATCTGTTTAGGAGACATAAGAATCTTGTCAATTTATTGAACTGTTGTTAGGTACAGCTGGAAAATAATAACAATTTGGAAAAAAATTGCTATACCTGAACATGCTATTTTCTGGTACAAAATTAAGTATGGAGGCATGTGTGTACTTGTTTTTTTTCGGAAAGTATCATTACATTGTCTACTTTTAGTAAACCTGGAAACAGGTCAATGATAGCTCCTGTGTTTTCTGGAAACTTTAAAAAGAAAATTTGAAAAAATAGAAAGCGTGAAATATCAGAATTTCCTGGAGTTCCCATTGACCTCTTACCAGATACCAGAAGAAGACAATGTAATGATACTTTCCTGAGAAAAGCAAGGAAATTAACACATACCTCCAAACTTTATTTTGTACCAGAAAATAACATGTGCAGGTATAGCAATTGTTTCCAAAATGTTATTTTCCAGCTGTACCTTAACACTTTAAACCACTGGGACAGGTCAGTGAAAGGAGTGTACTCCATGTTCACCATACATAACTGTTAACTGGGAATAATTCAAGTTCATGAGACGATGATCAACACTGTTCAATACCTAAATACAAATGCAAAACTGGTCATTTTTATTATCCTTGATCAAAAACGCAACAATTTGTTCCAAAACTAAATATATACATGATACATGTAAGATATACGCACGATTAATTTTAGGACATCTGGTTCATTTGCTTCGCCTCGAGCACTTTAACGATACAAGCTAAGGATGTCACAGTGATTGACTTGTGTGTGAATGTGTTGCCCAATTTCATAACTGACCTTGACGACTGGTTGTCAGATAAGGTCCGTCAGGCATTTGGGAAATCAAAAAGGCAGTAAAAAGGGGAAATGGGATGATTGGGAAAACCAAAACTTGGAAATGAGATACACGTAGTGTGAGATGTGGTCGTGCTAGGATGAAGAAAAGATCCTAAAGTCGTGCTATATCTCATGACAGTTATGAAAAACTATCACACATTATGACAGTTATACAGTAATACGAGTTGTTCAGATTTATAAATATATGCCATGAATATCAGAGCTTGATGCTATTGAATCAGAAGGATGGGCTGAATCAGAAGGATGGGCTGATTTTCAGAATGATAGGCCCCTATATAAAGAATTTGTTTTGGAAACCACCTGTTGTCACGTTGATACACCGACTAGTCTTCACGTAATGATATTAGTGAGCAGGTGGACTACTTTTTACTGAATTATACTTATTACATGTATGATTTTAGTACATGTATGTTTTAAGTTGTACATTATTATTTCGTCAGTAGAACCCCCAAATACGAAATCAGGAGACCATTGTGCAATAATATATGGAAACATATATTCATTTTTGTACATGGATGACATTTGTATATTTCAGATTATTAAGTTTTTTGTGCAATAAGCCTATGCCCTCTTGTAATTAAAGAATTTCAGCCGATGTTTTCTTATTTTTTAGGTTTTACTGACGAAATAAAACAATGAAAAATCGACGCCTTGAGAAAAAAAACTGCCTTCAATACATTCATTCAGCTTTTTGCGAGAGGTTTACCGAATATTGAATGCATAATTTACGTCAAAGAGTCTATGTGTAGGCCTATTGGTGTTAGATATTATTTTATGGGTGTTGTAATATTTTATGGGTGTTGTGATATTCAATCCCATTGAGCTTCATTGAATGATTCATTTGGGAGGCGCTATATGACGACTTACCAAAACTGCAGGGAAGTTGTGTTTGTTAGCAAATCTGTTACTGAATGCATTCTTCTGTAGAAGTTGTGACTGAAGAGCTCCTTTAATATGGAGGGCATCTGCGTTTATGTTATATTTATCGGCACCTTTATGAATCTGTTCATTAATAAGATCTCCAGCTTTCGGAGCCGTTAACGCCCGCCTGATAACGACAGCGTCAGGACCGAATTTTGATCCTTCTACTTTGGGCACATGAGCCGAGCAGTAAATATTTTTATCCTTGGCGTCAGTTTGGTTCACTTGATAGTTCTTGAGTGTGAGATTCTGTCCACAGTTCGAGCATTTGAAACATGTTTTATGCCACACCTCTCCTTTGACCGGGCCTATCTTTTCTGCCTGGTAGACCTGTTGTTTACACCGGTAACAGGCGTCTTTTGGTCCATTATGGAAAAGACTCGAGAGCCGTGTCCGGCCACGTTCAGCCTGAAGAGTCGATTGTAAATCCTCCGCCATCGACATCGTGGCTGTGTATGGTTTACCTTTACTCTCAGTTCAATATAGCTGTGTATTCACAGTCGTGTAAATTAAATCCAATATACCTGAATGTATGCCAACTTTTGGTATATATCTGCTCCAATGCGCAGCGAGTATTATCCTATTGAATTATTCATGAGCCGCCGTTATGGTTCTACGTTATTCCATCTATCGGATAATGATGGTGGATAACCTATAAAGCAATTTCATACCTGTACCTGATTATTGTAAAGGTACGTAAAACTTTTTGTATATCTCCTCGATTGTACTACACCGTGGTCCGATCCTAATTGTGAAATGAGTTTATTGTATATTGCAAAGTTCAATTATTTCTATGTATCGACATACATTACGACATGTATGTAATTTTAATGATTATGTCCCTAATTAAAGGCTACGAGGTATTTATCGGTATGTCGCCACAGGCATGATGGTATATTGGGAGTTATTTTAATATTATTTTGCAATTACAATCAATGTAACGTGTGATTTTGCAATTACAACGTGCTGTATACTGTACTTTAGTTGGAATAATTTCATTTTCAATTTATTTTATCATTCGCCGTCAATGAAAGAAAATAATAGCTTGGTGAAAAAGTGAAAATTAGAATCAGTAATTCTTCAATTTGAACTGGTCAAAAATTTCTATGGATTTTGGGATCGTATTTTTGACCAGATGAGATGGCGGTAATTGGAGATGCAAACTTACAAAATACAATATTAGAGGTCGTCGCAGAAAAGAATTCCTAGTGACATCTATTAAATCCGTATAAATGAAAACTATCGTTAGCTAAATGAGTATTGATGAACTGTCGCGTTTGGATATATCAACACAGGGACCGTACCAAATTAAACGTGACAGTTAACGCACAACACGAGTGTGATGAAATTTGAGCAAACATATGTTTTCATCGTTTCAGAAAGATTGAGTCTTGTTTCTAGATATTTGTATATGTAAATGTCTGTAACAACATCCTAGACAGTGAACTTGATCGTGAATTTCATAGTTAACCCTACTATCACACCAAACTAGTTCTCACTACGTTCTCGAAAACGGGCTTCAACTGTGTACGAACGGACTGGACGTACTAAGAACCGTTTGGGATCTATTTACAAACTTCATCGAACGTGCTCGAACGGGTAGGTCCTCTAGAACTTAGACAATGCTCAAAATGTTCTCGTGGTCGTCACGTTCTACAATTTGAACGAGTGACAACGTACTAACGACGAGCTGGACGTACTACGAACGGAACCGTCGTACTTCAATCCTACTAGGGACGTTTTAACAACGAGTTGAACTGTCTGAGGACGTGTTGAGAACGAGGTAGAACTCATTGCAAACGGGTTTAAACTGATTAAGAACGTATTTAACACTGCTTATGAACGAGTTAGCAAAAATATAGCTATCACACCAAACAAGTTGCCACTGCGTTCTTCAAAACTGGTTTTAAACTGTGTGCGAACGGAATGAACGTAGCTGCAACTTTCTAAGGACTATTTACGAACTTTATGAACGTTCTCAGACGGGAATATGATTTTAGAATTTTGAATCGATTCAAAATTCGATTGCGACCATACCGTTCTGTTATCAGGTCATGATGACCTTCTAGACTAAGGGACGCGTTCTACGGCGTTGCACACCGTCGTGATGCGACCTGAACGAACTGCGAACGAGATGGACGTATTGAAGACTGTTTAAGAACGAAGAAGCTAATTATTTCAGACATATTTCCCGACCACAGCCAGATTGAGCCCGTTTTACGACGTTTTCGTAGGACTGGCAAGAACGAGTAAGAACGAGTTTGGTGTGATAGGGGGGTAACCAACTCAAACTCGGGTACATTTACCTGAGATACAGTATGAGGCAAATTCAAATTCCTTGTGTTGTACCTTACCCGTTACCGCGCTTTATACCGTATACTACACTGGAAGTTTGTGTAGGTTTAACTACGAAATTCACCGTCAAGTTCAAGGATGTTGCTACAGCCATTTACATGTAAAAATATCTAGAAACTATACCAGATCTCTCCGAAACGATGAAAACATCATAGTTCTTACTTCGTTGTTAAGATGAACAGACCAAAACGTGTACGAACGGATTGAACGAATTGGAAGTAGTTGCTTTTCTACGAACTCCATGGGCATGTTCTGACGGGAAGGTGCAGTAGAATGCGAATTTGCACAACATTTTCTGGCGGCCATATATAGACCGAGTGCACTTGCGATCCGCTCGAATACGCTGGTTACCAAAATTCACGCCTTGTAGGCAGAATCCCCACGACATCTTTTCTCACAAACGTGTATCAGTATTATATGTTTTAGAAAATGTACAGGTTTGCGAAAAAATAGCTCAGAAGACAACAGAATCGTCGATTTAATTCTTCACTTAAGTTACTTAAACGGTATGGGTTAAAAGTGCTTGTGTTCTGCCTTACCCTGCCGCACGTTATACCGTCTACTTAGTTCGGTGTTTGTGTATGTTTGAAAACTATGAAAATCACTGTCACGTTCACTGTCTTATAGGATGTTGTTACAGACATTTACATATAAAAATATCGGGAAGTCAGTTTGCTCAAATATCATCACCCTCTTGGTGTAACTCACCCCGCGCGTAAACTGTCATGCTTAATTTGGTACAGCCACTGTGTATACCACACGCCAGGAAAGTGCTCCACCCAGAGACATATAAAATACGTTTTTTATGTCTCTGGCTTCACCAGACAAGAAAGTGCTTCGAGCCTGTTCAAAATTCATTCTGGGGTCTATCCCGTTGCAGTCGTTCACCCCTTTGCATTCACCTGTCTGCAGACAGACATAACTCACCTATTTACATGAATTCGTGGTCAGTCGTTATTCCTTGCAAATACGTCCGAAACAAAATAGATGACGTTATGAGAACTATCCAGTATGAGTGGGGGGGGGGGGGTAGTACTCGAAACAGCTGTTTTGCAATTTTGTGGCTAAAAGAGTTGCCTAAAATAAAATAAAATGTACATGGTGTCCGGAAAGTAAAGATACGAGTGCCCTAATTTCAATAGATTTGCCTGTTGTGAGATTAAATTAATACAGACATTATAAAAATTTATCCTGCAACTGACATGACATATTGATTCAAAATGAAAAAGTTATGGTTGATATGGTAACAGGAGTTGGGGGTGTGTGGAACAGAGTCACAATTGTGTTTCATGATTATTTTTCCTGCTTATAATATCTTGGCACGCCATCATGATCATCTGTTCCGATATTACATCAATTTGTGTATCACAACAACATAAGGGATTAGTACTGTAACACTATTTGGTCATTTGACATTACTACTGTTGTCCAGTATTATGTATTTCCCACCATTATTCAAAAATACATGGTGCATCTTGACTGGAAATTAAAAGACTTGACAAAACCAGTGCTGTCCATCTCTCACAATGCTGACAACATTGGCTTCCAGCCCAGTCTCATATTTATCTTGAACTTCTAACAAATATTGCTTTCAGATATTCATTAATGTAGAAATCTAACGTTACATTATCAGGGGAATATGGGCCATTGTACAAAAAGGTAAAATGTGAAGACATTCAATTGTAAGATTTGTTTTCTTTGCTTTGTGAATCTGTGCGTTGTGTGCACTATTGACTTTCCTATTAATCCAGGGACCTTTTTTCTAAGCACGTATATAATTTTTCTTTGATTATAAGGATTAGTAACACTACGTAGTTCTGATATTTATCAATGATATCATTATAGTAAAGAGAATAATATGGCAGCAATTGAACAAAACAAAACATAGAAAATACAATAATAAACGCTGTTTTAAATGGTAATATTTTAGCAATTTATCACATTTTAGCGATATCCTGGAACTGCTCTGCATACCCCCACCACTGTAACCATGACAACCATAACTTAAATACATTTAGATATTTTGAGATGAAAGTTGGTATATATATTATTCAGTTCCTTTACAATCTGTAGCAAATTTATTACAAAAAATTTGAAATCTCTTAAAATTAGAGTTTTTGTATCTTAACTTTCAGGACACCCTGTATTTTGAAGTGTACCACTTGTCAGCATAATAATAAGTATAATGGCCGTTACATTGTCATTTACATTGAATAAAACTACTTTTCCGTTTACATTCGGCTTTGAAATTTCGACCATGTCTACTTTGAATGACATAGAATTTCCCTAATCTATATCATGTGTGGACGCCACGATCGAACATAATATATTCTACAACGAATGCGAGGTAACGTAACCTTAGTTTTGCATTTGCCGAAGTAAAGGTTTACATTTATGAAACGTGAATAAAATTAAGATGTAAAATCACACAGATTACCAGACCTAAAGCTGCATTGATACAGTAGTAACTGAGAACATTCACGTCCATCATACGTCGAAGTATTTCAGAGGAAAGACAACATGAAGAGCTCACAATGAAAATATTATATTATATTTTTCCATTACAAGTCGGATTATGGATGGCTTGAAGTAATATCCATTTTGCATTCTATAAGCTAAAAGCATTCTTGGTTGTTACTGAGAAAGCAATTATCCACATGTAAATTGCAGATACGTGATCTAGAGAGTTAATCGACGGGCCTTGCTTCTCCAGAATTAGGTCTTTGATTCAATAACTTCCCAAAAAACATAACGTTAATATGTTTAACGTCGAATTAGGGCAAACATAATTATCTCTTTACTAAGCGCAAGATGTTACCTTGTCACCGGGGATATGGCAGAGTCTGTGTTATGAATACCTCGACCTTGACATTTGGGAAATATCACATCATACGAAATGTCAAAGATAGTTAGCCAGTCGAAATATAGTGCAATACATGAATTTCGTGGCCGATTTATGATCACTGTGTTATATTTATTTATTTATTTATTTATTTATTTATTTATCTATTTATTTATTTATTTATTTATTACAGTGTCACCCGTAATTATACGGCCAGCCTCCAAAGGCTTATGAGACACAATTACAATCATATTATAAGCAGATAAGTCAGAATTAACACTTACTTTAATCTATCTTTAGCCTAAAATATTAGTAGTAACATAATAACATCCAACAAATGACAAAAATTAGTACTAAATATATCCAATTTCTGTGTCTGTGTTTACGACTTGATTATTAGTCTAATCAATGATAATGGAACAAATAGAGTAAATGGATCCGTACATCATAACATTACTAGAGAATGCAATTTTCTACAACATGGTAATTTACAAAATTAACAAAACGTATAACATCACTAGAAATAGTAATTTACAAGAACGTCGTAAATTAACAAAATTATTATGAGGTGGTATTAAACCCAAATGTAATTTCCAAGACTGTTAAAACTGACATTTGTGATAATGGAAATGCATAAAAGCAATTATCTTCTCCAAAGTTGTATCGAAAAATTGAAAACTTAGAGCTAATGAGACGATATTAAAATGTAACGCGACAAAAAAGGAAACTGTAACCTGCGACGATAACGGATGAAGTTGAGCTATAACAAAATAGTTAAGATAGATATCAAACGGGAAACATTCGATCATTCACCAGCACACAGAAACAAGCATACGTGTTTAGGGGTATTGTGAAGGTATCATGTAACTTTGGTCGAGAGCAGGAAAGAAATCAATAAATTTCATAGCCTCACCAGCAGTTGTCGGAAGCAAGGATTCGCTCTGACTATACAGCCTCTACACCGAACGAATATAAAACAACAATACGAAGTATGTTTTGTGGGAGCTACTGCATCAATAATATATTATGATGGCCTACATGTGGATTTCGTCACCTTAAATAAGTAATAGAGATTGAAGGACTAATGTCGATTACCCGCCGATGTGGAATAGAAACTCAATGAACACAGGCATAGAGTACATATATCACACGTTATATCACGTTCTATGGACGTCGGAAAGCCATGGACCAGGTTTTAACAGTCTATTATAGAGTCTGAACTGTGCTAGGGAAATCATGGATCAATTGGAGACCTTTCAGTGATCGCTTGGTGATCGTAACTAGAATTTGAAATAAGTTGCGGATTTCAAATGCAGGCAGACCAAATAACAAACTCTGCAAAACTTGAATAGTGATTGGCTGGTTTTCGTGGTTGAATATCCGCGTTATGATTATGAGTTTTTGGTGAGCACCATCTATCCGCAATGCTGTTTTTAAAATATACGGTAACTTTATTATTTATATGCGGCTTTTTCGATCACATTTTCTATTCGGTCAAATTAACTGAATTGATGTATATCTAACCTTTTGCCTTCAATTGATTTGAAATACTCCAAACATTATTTTAGCAATCATAGCCAAAGTCGCTTGCAAATTGTACAAATCACACATTTCGTCTTGTTACGAGCAACATGACGACAAATTTCAAATGAAATCACAAAGAAATGTAACTAGCCTATCCTACCAGGCAAGTGGTTACAAAAATACAAGTTAAAATATTATTATATATATATATCAATTGTAGCTTCTGATGAGGAAATATTTTTAATCCCAAATTAAAATCTAAGACGCAGGACTTCGTGTATATTTTATTATAGAGGATAGATGGAGCTGTTTCTGCTGACTATGTTCGTATTGCGGTCAGTTCCGTTTGTCAGCAAACATATATAGGGTGTTCAATAAGTAATGTCCCTGCGGTTATATTTTGTCCGATTTGAAATAAATATACCAGATCTTTTAGCATAGTGATCATGTAGAGATGTTTGTATTTTCATTTTTCAAACTACATGATCACAAATACCCAGAAATGTAAACATACTAGTAATCAAAATGAAAGCGTTGACGTCATTACTTACTGAACACTCTGTAGATTAATCAAGCATTCAAAAAACTCATCATTAATAATATAGGTAGTGTTTCTTATGTCCAGTAACGTTAACACTGATCGACCGAATAACAAACAAGAAATAAACATCAGTTCGAAAATGAGAAATGATCATGGCGATAATAGAGCCTTGGGGAGCATGACATTCCAAATGAAATATGGATATGAATTGTACGCATGAATCGAAGAGAATGCAATTTTACAATTTGTTACTGAAGTATATAGAAAGTATATTAGATGTAGTATTATACACCTCGTAACTCGTGTTTTGGGAATAAAACCTAATGTAGATAGCGTGTGCAACAATTGCTAATAAGTACAAAGTTAGTGCTCGATTACGAATTTTCAAGTTTGATGATTCGAAACTCATCTTGTCAAGGTAAGAAGAAGGGCGAGGAGAGATCAATATATTCGAAGCCAACCTGGTGAATCTCGAGTAAGAGTAATTTATCGCGTACCACAACCATTGGGCGTCCGCAGTGGGTAATTTATGATTTAAAAATGTGTGTAGATTTTCCCTGATGTCATACAATTCTTGAATAAAAGGTTGTATGGAGATTCACGGAGGCCCAAAAAGAACATCTCACGTAAACCCGTGCATAATGTGAAAATGATAGTCGTTCTTTTTGAGCAAATAAATCACCTTTTTATTAGATTGTAAGCAAAGTTAATTGTTGGACCATGACAGTGTATTGAATGTTTTATGAGTCTAGCTTCAATACCCTGGACCCCCTCCAGCCCTCCTTATCTACTTTCCAACAGTTCTAAAAGTAGATAGAGGGGGGGGGGTCCAGGGTCTTGAAGCAAGACGAATGTTTTATTACTTATCTTTAGAATTGATAATTTAATCATTTCAACATTCCGATACTCATAGCATCTTTCTGGTTCACATCTCAGGGCTGAGAAGAAATGAGATGTCATGGTTTATCATGATGTCATTTCACTAACATTTTGTATATGCAAATAATCAAAGTAACTTCCTTTTATATTCAAACAATATGACTCATTATGTTAGACGATACCAGTATCATTCTACACATATTCTTGATAATAACAATATAACCGATATCACTCTGATCTGGGGTGCATATACAGGGTGTTCATAAAGTCCCATTGCAGTTCCAATACAAGGTCTGTGTAAAGTGCAAAGAACTTTATGGACACCATGTACTATTATCCCATACTGGGGTAAGTGTCAAGGAATAAGACGGGTATATGAATGTATAAATATAAGTAAATATCATGGCCCAATGTAGTACGTGGTACTCAATAAAATACGCTTACAGTCGTCTTTTTACAATTTTCAGTATTCAACATGACAAACGACATATGACCGACATAACAATTCAAGTTTGGACTTATCTATAGGTTCTAATATTTGTGAGAGTATAATTGATGAACAAAGACCATTACTTTAGTAGGATAAAAAGTCGGTGAATTTACAGATTGACAAATCTAAAACACATGGAGACGCATAGAGAGGCTTTGTGGATATACTTATTGCTTATTTAATCGATTTCTAAGCGTTGATAGGACGATGTCAAGCCATCAGGATTAATAAATTGTGAACGATATGACTAAAACTGTATCAGTATATTTATCTTTAAGATCAACAGTTATTGATTTATCTATTATATCGATGCAGATCCCGAAAGGATTGGAGTCTTCGTGCACTGCATTGTTAAGTCACAGTGCAAGATGACCGTATTCATGATATACTTCAGACGAAGGGATGTATATTAGAATGTCAGGTCCTATCGGAGACTAGTACGGATCCCAATGAACCGAGGATGATTCCTGATCCGTCAAGACTGCACAATCAACAATATATTGCAATGGCTTTTCATTACGTTAGGACTTACCAGCTATGTATTTCCGAGGAAGCTGTAAATCTGCGTGTCCGTTGGCTACACACATTGAAGACATGGTACTGATATATGATTTTATAATCACTGATTGTCTCGTTTGCATTCATGCAATATGGCGGCGTGTAATAGTATATAACGTGAATCAGTGATTGGTAATTCGAAGAAGAAGCACTTACTAAGTAATCTGCACAGAGTTGTAGCATGAACATGAATATTTAATCAAATAATATTTTTGATGATCGCTAAGAACCATGCATTGTTTAAAACAGGGCGTCATGAATCGCCAGGTATGTCGACGAGGGAACTAAATATTATACCTTAGTGTAATCACTAAATGATTCCGGATCAGCTATGATGCTCTAGCATAGGCAAGAGTGGGAGTCGAATATTTTAGCGACAGCTGAGTCCAATAAGTACTATAGTTACACATTATGTGAGAATAGCAGGCTTATATTGAAACCACTAAGTCTAGGTCTTTGGAGAAATTAAAAATGGATATTGATAATTGCAAGAAAAGTTCGGAATCAATAGGCCCTGTGAACGATGTAACCATGGACGAATGTAGTGCCGAGGGGTCGGAGGAGGCAGATGAGACCCAGCCATTCTTGGATTATATAGCTGATATCGTCCCCGCAGACGAGAAAGAGATCGTGCTACCAATATTTTACGCAGCCCTTAGATACCCTTCCGCCAAAGGCAAAAGCAGTGTTGGAACGAAGTTTTTAAAAGTAGACTATAATGAGTTACAATATGAAGAAAACGTCGTTGAACCTGGTGCAGCTGTTTACCAGGATGATGTGGAAGATGCTATTGTAAAATATGATTGTGCTAGAGAAGATTTTAACATTAAAGATGATGGTGGGAAGGTTACACATGATGATGGTCAATTCGATGATTCAATTGCTGTTCTCGGTGCAAACAGAGACCTTGATCATAAGGAGACTAAAGAACATGTTGTTCATGTAGAAAGTGTTGAACATGAAGGTGTACATGACGTTGTTGACAACAGTATAGAGGATCATAGCAAAATTGAAAAACAAGAAAGTGAAACTGTTGTGGCCGAACTAACAAATGATGACCATCGTAACGATGAACTTATTGAAGTTGAACTTCATGAAGAAAAACACATTAATGTTGACCATCACGAATGTAAGGTTGATTATCATGAAAAAGAGCCCGGTGCTCGTGATGTGACAGATAAACTCGATCATGACGATAAACATAGCAAGACTAATAGTCACGTTGAAGAAAATGATGAAGATGAACAAAATGAGGACGACGAGACCACATCATTACTTCAAAACCAGCAGACACCTTGCCATTCAAAGTCTTACGAGGAATCGTTTGAGGAGGAGTTAGAATGTCAACATGACCCTAAATTCATCGACTCGATTAATTCCAAACCAAACGCATACCAACAGAAACATTCTCCAAACAATACCACAAAAGTAGCAAACCATGAAAAACAATTACTCAAGCAAAAAAGTGCCAAAGATATCAGAATTAGATGTAACACGTTTAATAGAACTTGTTATGAAGCTGAAAATGACGATGATGAAACCCTTAATGGAACAACTGAATTTCAAAGTAAAAGCTCTGCTAAATATGATGATATAACTGAAGATTCGATAGATATGTCTCAATTATATGATGTTTATATCCCACTTCTCCCTAGTATAAGTACATCTGCAACGCCAGACTTAAACAAGGACTGTATACTGGAAATAGTTCCCACTACTACACTTCAACCCATTAGCCCACCCCAAGAAGTTTATAAATGTTCTGATATACAACATCCTAATATTGAAGTTGGAACAGATAGCACTAAAGAACTGCTAAGACAAGATAGCCTTGCACCAAATGACCCGAGTGCCCATGATGGCTCCTTAAAACCTCAGTCATCGGTTGACTCCGGTCGGTACAGCGGAGAAAGTGATAAACCAAGTAGCCCTTCTGATACACTTGGTTTTTCTAGAAAGTCAATTGATCCACTAAGACTCCAATATTCAGTGGAGTCTGAGGCTTCTACTGATGGGACCGATAAGGCTCATCTATTAGTAAACCGGCAAAAGGGTGAATACATTAGAGCGAGTAGCGTCGATGATAAGCTAATAAATAGAACAAGCACTAATTCAGAACGTGGGCGAGCTGTTCTTCTTCGTTCTTTGTCAGAAGGTGCAAAAACAAAACGAACTATTAGCCGCACGGTGGTGCCATCTAACGCTACAACTGCTCAGAAAACACTAATAAACACAAATCTATCAGACGATGGAAAAACTACTGATAGAGTTACTAATAGAGGTCAGGTGGGGAGCGGGAGAAAATCAACATATCTTCCTACAGGTCGGAAAAGCAATGTCATATATTACCAAAACAGATTCATTATAATTAATCCCAAAGCGCTGCCTTCTAATAAATTGCCTGGAATGAGAAAACAAGACTCGAAATCATCACAAGAAGATTCGTACATTGATATCGTTGAAGCGGCCTCTAATGAATCATCTGCACATGCGTGTAAATTAGAAGCAGACGACAGTTCAAATCATGAAGGCAAAATAAGTGTTGAATTGCAACATAGTGATAAAAACGATACCGTTGATGAAACATGCGGAGAGGTGACAAGATTGCTTTCAGAGAATGATCAAACTCAAAATCAGGACACAGACAATAATCTGACAATGGAAATTCAAATGGATGAAACCTCGGTTACCATGGATATGGACCCTCGCCCAGTTGCCTCTCCTAGGGTTGACGTTCGCAACAAAAACAACCCATCAGTGTTGAAAAAATTGACTCATTTTCTTCATGATAACCGCTTGCAAAACTCTAAAGATGCAAAAGCCAAACTGAAAGCTCAAAACGACCATCAACAGAGGAGTCATACAATTTTGAAAAAAGTGCTTAACGTAATATTTCTTACAACTGGAGTATGCCTTTTCCTTGCAGTCATAATAGTTATAATATATACATCAGTCGGTGAGTATGTTTCGAATTAAAATAAATTAGAATCGTAAGAATGCAATATTATTGAGGTCAAGACTTAGGGGTGCATCTTATACCCCGCTATAGATGCCCTATTTGATAAAGGGCCCTAAATTATAAGGTTACGGCGACGAACAAAGCATACGGAATTACGATTTACGGGACATAGTGTTTGACGTATGGGAATTTTCTTTCCTGATTCCTTTCAAGGCCTTAAAAAATCCTACTGTGGAATATAAAGTCCCTAAAAATATGAAAATGATGTGATCCCAGAAGTCAACCATCAAGATGTAAAATACACACGTAAATATATATTTATGATCCACTACAAAACAGTCATGTGATCGGTTAGAAATAAATTATATTCAGAACGCTCATTTTGATCGCCCACGAGAGAGAGTCAATATTTCACAATGTACAGGGTGTCAAATAAGTCCTGTCCTCTAAAACCAAAATCGAAATATATGGTACCAAGTGTGATATATCATTGGAAAGATCATCCAAGATTACGTTGATTCGGATATATCTGATACATGTCAATCAGTGTCACAAATTGCTACGTTATATTAACTGAGGTGACAACATACACGTAGAAACATGGCAATTTGGCATATTTAGCAGGATTTTAAAAATCAGGCATCAGAAAAGTCAAAAGAACTCAAGATGACAACATTTTATAGATGCTGGCAGTAAATTTAACCAATTTGTGGGTAGGGTTAGATGTGTAGCATATAGAGGGGCAACAGTGGCATGCAGAAAAGATTAACATTTTGAATTATTGATAAGGTCATATCCTTCTCATTTTGACGCAATAAAAGCTGCTGAAGGAGGGCATGCTAACTATCAAGGACATAATGGGCGTAATTTCTGATCTTTCCGATGGTATATCACACTAGGTACCATATATTAAGTTTTCAGCTGTATCAGGGGCGACGGAACTTATTTGACACCCTGTATACTGTCATGGTATATTGTCAATTTTGATTTTCACTTTCCTAATTTGTTACTACCATTGGGATATGTTGCCTCTGATTCACAAAAAGCTATACTCGAATATCATGTATTAGGTGCCTGTAGAGATGCACTAGCTCTAATTACTGCAATATCCAAACCGCACCCCAGGGACTGTTCTCACTATAGCTAGTCCCCATAACAATATATCAAATACATACGTGTAATTTACTAATTCATTGTTATAATATTTGTTCAGAGGATTGTCACGGTGGCATTAATCTCCTAATGAATACGTTTGGAAAGTTATAAATGCAGACAGAGCTCGTTTAGATATTGAATATGAACGTAGATGGATATAGCCTCTGATGCATCATTCCATTGATATTAATATTTTAGAAACCCGCATATTAGTTTGGTATACATGTTGCATCAGGTAATAATTCATACAAACCATTCGAATTTAATAACATTTGCTTGAAAAGGTTAGTAACCATGATAAGCAGCAAACTAATGTATAAGCCTACAGGATAGCTATCCTTCTGATTGTCACTGTGCAATCACTTCAATGGAGGAAATACAAAATGTTTCGCAAAGGTTAACTCTGACATCCTTAAATTTATATTTTAAATGTATGTTGACGCCGAAATCTCTTTTGATATCGATTCCTGGAAAGGATTTTGTTGAAATTCTAATTGACCGACAAGATCCTCTTCTTACAAAAGTAAACAATTCGAATAAACCCAAGTCCCGATGACGGAACAAAAAAATGTATGTTTAAATCGCGATCGCACGAGTCTCATTTTCAAAATTTTTGACATATTGATTCAACACAGTAAAGTCGTCGATATATCAATTGTTCAATTAGATGCTTAGTGTTGATATAGTTTAAAAGTCAAAACAAGGTATAACACGTATCCCCTGATTATTGGAAACATTTTGTATAGAACTACACAATGTTTATGGGTAATGAATACGGTATACCTGCAACAGGTGTTTCTTGACAAGTACAGGTGAACCAATATAATGTTATAGATCCAGAACTCTCGATTATAGTATTAGTTTGAATAATTCATTAAATAACTAGTCTACGGGTTATAAAGCATTGAGATCGCGGGTAGCCTTTTACCAGTGTCTCTTTTAATCATGGCCATGTTTTTAATATTTGATATTTATTCGACATAGTTATCTAAAAGAAAAAGATCCATGGTATGGCATAATAAACATAAATGTATCACTTAAATTATAATTTTTATCAATGTGGCCATTGAAACAACCATTCTACCGAATGTGTTAGAAATTTTTATTTTCAAGTATCCAAAGCCCATTTGGAAAATATCGACATAAATGTATTGGATATTTGATGAATTGCCCCCTTTATTCTTACTTGACTCAACCCCGTTCCAAAGTATGGAACTCAATCTATATGACAAAACGATGCCATTCTCATAATGATCAGAACGCCTGCAATAAATCTTCCCCTAGTCCCAGGAGCTCTAGAATAGTCCTATTTGGATGACTGAAAATTCAAATGAAACGAGACGCAATATCTCACAGGAATATAGATTCTGCTAATATAAAGACGTGAATGTTACAACAGGACATATCTCAAACGTGAAAAATACTTGATGATACTTGACGCTGTTGGGCTTCTCCAATAAAATCGAAGGAAAATTGATGAGTATGTGCAACATCAACTGTCTACGGATCAAGTCCAGGAAAATATCGTAGAAAACACCTTGCTACTGATAATAGTAATCTGGCTATATTTTCTTCTTGAATATCTCTAAGGTTACCTTCACTCTCTACTTCACCCCTGTACTTATATTATATTTACCCGACAGTCTTCAAATTCCTACTGGTCATATTGTCCAATCAACACGATCTAAATGATCACATGATCTTATCACACCTGCTCAAAAGTTAGCTCCTTTGTCGCAATCTTTGAGAATACGTGTTTTGAAGAGCTCTTTAAATAATGTGAAATACATTGGAAAGTTAGGGAGAACTTTAGCCTTTTAATTAAAGACCAGTGCAATGCACTTAATGGGGAGTTGACTTGTAGTTACATTTTAACCAAATTCGTTTTCATTTCATACGCGAGATTTTCAGATTGACAACGATACTCAGTCATAACATGTAGTTGATGAATTGTAAGTCCATTGTCGTATGTACGCGAGTGCGATAGATCATAAAAAGTGATCCTTGAAAAATATTATTGAACATCCATCGAAAACCTATACTCACCCCATGCAGACAGATCGCCTAAAAGTACATTCATATGATGCGAGACTCGACATTCACCAGGAAAGTAGAAACATTTTGTCACCCATGAAGAAAATCATTTTTTACTGCTAAATGGTCCAATGATAAATGGTAAATGGTCAAGGACATTTATATTGAGTTCCATAAGTATGAGAATAACATGACGTCTTGATATTTCAAGGTAACTCGTTCGAAAAGTGATGACGGTGATCGAAATTACGATGTAAAGATAAAGCCGTAATGAAGCATTTGTAGATTTCTTTGAAAAACTAAGAAATATACATCACATACCGAATTTTTCAAAACATGTGTAAAAAGTAAGGCCTGCAGGTCAGATTCTCCCTGGTAGCATTTAACATTGGTCCCATACATGTCATACAATTAATATTTGAAATACAACTATCATTCGAACTTATGATCGGGCATAAGTATGATGTTCCTTTATTAATATTACATTGAAGTACACATCATACTTATGTCCGATCATAAGTTGAAATAATAGTTGGGTTTCAAATGTTAATTGTATGACTTATATTATACGAGACCAATGTTAATGCTACCAGGGGGAATCGGTCCTACGTGCCTGACTACTTATACATGTTCTTTTCTGTTTTAAAAAATTCAATATGAGATGTATATTTCTTAGTTTTTCAAAGAAATCTACAAATATTCCAAATATATCAAAACGACATGATATTCTCATACTTATAGAACTCAATATAACTGTCCTTGACCATTTATTAAGCATGCTTCATTGGTGACAAAATGTTTCTACTTTCATGATGAATGTCGAGTCTCAGATCATACGAATGTAATTTCAGGCGATCTGTCTGCATGGGGTGATACTCGATGTTGATTGCAAGACATTTAATGAAACATAATAATTGCCATAAGTACCCTTACCATCCCTACTGAAATGATTAAATCGAGAGTCAAATGACAATACTGTTTTGAAACATATATAATTCCTATAACTTACATGTATACCATCCTCAATTAAAATACTAATAACCAATATCACACCCATCGAAAAAGATTGAACATACATGTACTACTGTGTTCTGAAACAAGCTGTTTGGTAAGGGTTCTTTATATTCGGTGGGAGGGTAGGTATATGTCAAGTCTTTTTTTTACATATTACTAATATTCCTCAAAGTTACTTGGTTAATTGAACTCATTTCGATATTTCCCAAATCATTTTATGATTTTGAAAAAATATCAAGATTGTCCAGCCCCTTGTAATCCTTTACCTAATGAAATATCAATGGGTTTGTTCTTTATTACCCAGACATGGTCTATACTCCCCATATCTTAATTCCATTTGTAATTATTTTACACGTTATAACTATAATCCCATACCATCCCAAATGAAATGGCAAAAGTGAATGGTTTCACAATACACTCAATTATATTAGTTCTTACCTTGCCATGTCTTAGAATAAGAGTTTAGACATAATGTTGCATTCTCCATGATCAGTAAACAAATTTGAACATAATTTGGGACTACGAATATTTAGTTGTCATTTGCGAGTGAGTAGACTGCATGAGGACATGGAAACGAGATTGAAAGAAAATTCCTAGATCCATTTATTATCACCCGGCTAATATATTTAGAAGACAAAGCAATTATCTTTGCTAATCGAAAACCTTCTTTGAAAATGACTCCCATAAATATTTCTGTTCGCCATTCTGAAAATTAGGTTATAACGGCGTAATTTGCTTCAATGTGAGTTGTATCGGGGGATTACAAGGTGCTGCTTCGACATCTAAAGTAATAT